TCGTGCTTCCGCGTCGAACCTTCCTTCGATCCAGCAAACATGCAACGTTTATCGAGCACCTATGGTCACTACGGAGAATAAAAAGAACTCAAAATATTGTATCGAAGATGAAGCACACGAGAAATAATTCCATAAATCACAGAGGCGATGCATACATATGTTCGTTGAGGAGTAAAGTCTGTTGCACCGCCGCAAGGGTTACTGCCGTTCGTGCGGTTTCCACAAGCGCGCCCTGACCACAACGCGCATTTCAACAAGAGCGTTGTCTGGCAGAAAAGGTACACAAGCAGTATAGTGAGCGGTATTGCTGATGAGATGTAGCGTTGATGAGGCGACGATAACGACGTTTTGCCGGCTAAACGGTCCGCCAACGCCTACAGGGAGAAGCACGTTTGACAATGGAGCGGAAGGGTTGTATCTTTGTTCCGGCTGAACTGGGCTAATTTGGAGACGCAGGTAACAATGTCACGGACCTTATGAAAGATCATGGCAAAATCTTAATTGATTGCAAGGACCACTTGGGTTGGTATTTGATAATGGGCCACCTATAGGTCATCTGGCCTCTTTTCACGACTGTGGGCCTCGCGCACTTGTCGCAGCTTTGATAACATTTGTTGCCATTGCACGGGAGGGCCTGCTGGATCTTCCGCCTACAAAACTTTTGTCAGTATCAAGCTGAAGTCGTTCTCCTACGCAGCCAGTTGTTCGGTTAGCAACACTCGCGTAGGCATGCATAGTATTCGTTGTCTTCTAGATTGGCTCACTGATCAAGCTCAAGGCCAGCCTCGGTCGACAGGTTTGCATCTAATAAGATATGAAAGCGTCTAATATCATAAGAGAAATGGCCCCAGTGACCAAACGCCATACATGCAAGACGAAATCTATGCGCCTCCACTACGTCGATAGATAGAAAACGCAGCAACAAAAAAGTCAAGCCCGATAGGCATCCCAGCAAAGCTCTCCAAGTATTATACTACCTCTTCTCCACAAGGAGCAAATGCATAGCCAGGTACGCAAGCAGCACAAACGTACCACCAAAGACTCCCAAACCGATACAGTCCTTCCACAGCGCTTGTGTGTTGAAGCCAAACGAGCTTAGGATAGCGGAGCCAGGGACTTCGATATCAAGGCCGTATTTGTGGTCAATGAGAGAGAGGTATTTGACTTCGTTGACGATGAGGCCTTCGAAGGCGTAGTGGAAGATTGACAACTAGAAATGTTGTTAGCATGGATACATTGTCAAAGGGAAGGGATATCTTAGACTTACCGACTGTAGCCACTTGGCTATACCAGGAATACTCTCTTTGTTGAGGAAGAAGCCAGAGAAGAGAAGACTGAACAGCATGACTAGCACACCGATCAAGTTGGCCACACCAGAGTTTCGGAACACAATGCCGATGAAGAGGAAGATGGCCGCGGCTGCAAGGTTGAACAAGACGAGGAAAAGCGTGAACTTGAGGAAGTTGGGCCAAGCGGGGATGAGGCCGGTCATCGGGTACACGATGATACCAAGGATGATGGGAGGAAGAAGACGGAGAGGAATGATGTCAAAGATGACCTTGGCGGCAAAGTAGGCAGGTGGGGAGTAATAACCTTTGGCACGCTCGCGGGTGAAGAGTAGTCTCTCGGGAGCAAACACAGTGAGAATGGTCAAGCTGCTGAATCCAAAAAGTGACAAGACGAACAGGAATAGACCGAGGCGGTTCTGGAAACCCTTGATGTCGTCCGTAAGACCGTAGAAGAGGAAGCCGAGGAAGACTGCTAGGACGATGGCGATGGCATAGTGGGTAAGCATGAGCATTGGGTTGCGGTAAAGGTTACGCCAGGTACGTCGGGACAAGATTCTGAACTGGCCAAAGATACCAACCTTCTTAAAGCCCTTCAACTTGCCTGCTGCCACGAAGCCATTTTGCTCATGCACTCCATTAGTTCCGTTGGCTTGGTTTGCACTTGCTACTGAAGTAGCAATGTCTTGACGGATTGTAGCTGCAATGTCCGAAGATGCGTAGGCATTGATGAGGAGATCCAGGTTCGTTCCGGTTGCGCCATTCGCGGGTGGAGGAAGCTCATCTGGGTCTTCGAGAATCTGGGGAGGTACGCTACCTCCTTGACGCGTGAGCTTCAACCATTGAGCCTTGATAGCGCCTCGGCGATCGTAAGGAGCTTCGTCGTCAGTCTTGGGCGACATTGCACCATCGTTGACAGGAGCAGAACCCTTCTTCCTTGTGAAGAGCTCGCGTTCTTGCTGTTGCTTGATCGATGTCCTCCTCTTGCTCTTAGGCCGCAGTATGCTGGAATTACTCGGGCTACCAGCAATGTCTCGTTCAAGCTCCGATGTGTTGATACTAGGGATAGATTTGACGGCAATGGCACTGCTTGCACTAGTGGTGAGTCCGTCGCGGTTGAGATCACGGTTGAAGATTGAGCTGTCTTCATCGATAGGCTGACGTGCTGTGCTTGCGTGCATAGTAAGATCCACAATGTAGTCCGCAATGTTGAAACCAGGTGGGCAAGTGTAGCCAAGCTCATCGAAGTATGTTTGGCAGTTCTCGAAAGGTCCAGAGTAAACAGCCCTACCCTTTGCAAGCAGTATCAACTGGTCAAAGAGAGCGACAATGTTCGAGCGTGGCTGATGAATGGTGAAGACGACAGTTCGGTTGTAGTTCTTGACGAGGTTGACAAGGCACTCGACGACATTGAAAGCATTGTAGGCGTCCAATCCGCTTGTCGGCTCGTCCAGGAAGAGGATGCTGGGCGATGTGACAAGTTCACAGGCAATACCGACACGACGCTTCTCTCCACCAGAGATTCCACGACCGCTTTCCTCCGAACCGATCTTCTGGTTGCGAATGTGGTAGATACCGAGTTGACGTTCAACATCTTCAACCTTTTGCTCTTTTGAAGTGCGACTCATCTCTTTGGGCAGGCGCAACAAAGCAGAGTCGAGAATCGTCTCGTGGACAGTCAGGGTGGGCAAAAGGGTGTCTTCTTGGTCGACGAAGCCGATAACGCTTCTGAACTCGTCATCGCGGACCTTCTCACCGTTGACGTAGAAATCGCCGCTGTCGGTTCCGATCTTCTTCTTACGGGCCAGGATGTCGAGGAATGTGGTCTTTCCAGCACCTGAGGCACCCATGATGGCCAAGAGCTCTCCAGGGTGGACTGCGCCAGATATGCCAGAGAGAATCTGCTTCCCGTTCAGGTTGTAGGCGACATTCTCGAAGAGGAAAGCGGCTGGTTTGTGGTCCGCCAACAGCTTTGCATCCTCGTCTTCCTCATCGTCTGACAGGTGAATAGGACCGTATCGCTTGCTCTCGGCGCGATGCGTGAGGTACCAGATAGCCAAGATAGCCGCCACGATGAACAGTGCGCAACCGGCGATGACACCGGCGATCAGAGGCGTGTTGATCTTCTTGATGGGTCTTTCGTAGCCTGGCACCTCGGTCTGGTACAAACACTCGCCCGTGTCACACTGTAGGAAGATGCTTTCGTCGCCAAAGATGCTCGAGATCAAGTCGTTCATAGCAGGCTCGGAGAAGATGCTTCCGCTGTCCTTGCTGTTGATAGCTGAGATGCCTCTGAATTCAGCAGGACCCTTGATGGACTCCTTCAGGAAATCACCAATGTCAACGGAGCCATCCTCGCCACAGAGCATCCTGTCAGGAACACATTCGCACTTGATGTTTTTGCATTGGTATTTCGTGATGTTGCGGTCGGATTCGGCGGTGAAGTCGGAGGAGCATGTGTCGAGGGCGCAGTAGAAGGATTCCCTCTGATCGACCCAGACTAGGGTGGTTAGCTATGGACGAGGAATGGTGTAAATGAAGCTTACACTGGAAGTTGCACTCCTCTGACTCGGCGTTGCAAGAGAAGGTCGCCTGCGGTTTCTTATCCTTCAACGTGTCGAGGATCTTTCTGTTGGTGATGTCGCAGATCTGGAAGTTCTCCTTGACCAGTTGACCGTCCTTGTAGCAGACTCCGCCCTCCCCGTCCGGCATCATGGCGTTGCAGGCATCGTTAGTTTGGCAGACATTGCAATTGATGCCTGACCAGCCCTCTGAGCATTCACACTCCTTTGCGCCTCCTCGTGGTGATCGGTTCTTGCCATCGGGCAGCGCGCCGCAAAGGGGTTCTGAACAGTCCTCGCCTCCAAATCCTGGGCCACAGTTACATCTTCCGTTTGCCTTGCTGCAATCGGCAAACTGCTTGCATTTGAAGTCTTCGAGATTGCAGTTGAAGCATGGGGGACAGCCGTCGGGTCGGTCGCCGTATATGGAGAAGATATCTTGTGGCGATTCGGCGATGGAGTAGTTTGCGAACGTCTTGTACGCGGTACCTGTCGATGCCAGACTCAGGATAGTGGCGAGCGACGTCGCCCAGGCTCGTTGGCGCATCTCGCGTGTCTGCGGCGCAACGCGAGCTATGGTAGATAGCTAGGTATGGCGGGCAGTGTGCCTCCTTGTATCACTACGATAACGCGATGATGGGGTGCAACTGTCAAAGGAGCGGCGACAGAGCCAGGCAGCTCTTGTTGGTGACGAGGGACACGACGCGGCGAGGGTGGCCAGATGGGGGTTGCTATCATCGGCGTTGCCTGATGGTGATTCGTGGAGGCTGAGCTGTCACCAGCCAAGCATCATGGCGGACCGTTAGACCGAGGCACAAGCCAACAGGCACACCATGGTCTTCGTCATCGATATCTTGCGCACAACATGCAGAAGAAGAAATCATGGATATACATCGCGCGACCAGTAGTCTCACCTCTAGCGACATGATCAACGTGACCGCGCGACACCTGCAAAGGCACGTTCTCTCTCGGTCATACCTGGCCGCCGGAGCTCTAGCTACTAGCTTACCCGCTTCAGCGGAACCCTCTAGAGACCATGTGCGCCCTATGTCAATCCTCGAGGCGACGTTTGAAACTTTTAGGATAAACAAAGTGACCTCCTTCGTGTCTATCTCTCTCTTGCAACAACACCCTTGTCATCGCCTACGCCAATATGGTCAAAATCGATGAATTCGCTGTCGAGTCGGCAAGTCCATTCCCCGCATCCCCTCCACGTGGGGAATAAACTAACATTCCCAGTGGATGGACGCATACGAGACGAAATGCAAGTACAACATTGCTGAGACATGTTGTGCTTCCATTTCCGTCGACCAGCTACGCGAGCTGTCTGAGGACAAAGATCGACAGGTTTTCGACACCTCGCGTGTCCTGACTTACGGTGATATCAGAGGAAGTGACGAGCTACGCAATAACCTCGCACGGCTTTACTCTGCAAAAGTCACGAACCCTCTCTCTCCAGACAAGATCCTCATCACTCCTGGTGCCATCCAAGCCAACTACCTGACTGCATACGCTCTCGTCGGCCCTGGAGACCATGTCATCTGCCACTACCCCACCTACCAATCTCTCTATGAGGTACCCAAACAATTAGGTGCCGAAGTGGACCTGTGGAAAGCTACACCGGAGAACAAATGGGTGCCAAAAATTGGCGACCTGAAGTCGCTCATCAAGCCCAACACTAAGCTCATTATCATCAACAACCCAAATAACCCCACTGGCGCTGTCCTGGGCAAGACTTTCTTACAAGAGCTCATCGACGTCGCTTCGGAAAAGAAGATTACCATCATGTGCGATGAGGTCTACCGACCATTGTTTCATTCTATTAGTCCGTTGGACAAGGAGTTCCCACCCTCCCTCCTGTCCATGGGCTACGAGAACGTCATCGTCACGGGTTCCATGTCAAAAGCCTATTCACTCGCTGGTATCCGCATTGGATGGATTGCCTCTCGCAGTTCTGAACTCATCGAGAAGATCGCTTCAGCACGCCATTACACCACCATCTCTGTGTCCTACTTCGACGAATGCATCGCAGCCTATGCCCTACACGCTTCGACAGTGCACCAGCTCCTAGCCCGCAATATCGGTCTCGCGAGGACTAACATGGCCATCTTGGAGAAGTTCCAACTCAAGAACGAAGATGAATGTGAGTGGGTGAAGCCCGTTGCAGGCACTACAGCTTTCGTCAAGTTCCACAGGGAAGGCAAGCCAGTGGATTCTGTGGATTTTTGCAAAAAGCTCCTAGAGGCTACAGGCGTCATGTTTGTACCGGGAAGTACCTGTTTCGGCGAAGAGTTCAAGGGCTACGTCAGGATTGGTTATGTCAACCAGACGGACGTTGTAAAGGAGGGACTAGATGCCGTGACAAAGTTCATACGGAAAAACCTCGACGACGTAGAGCTAGCAGCGTAGAGTACGTCTAATTGAAGATCTTTACACAAGCACAGCAGGTCTTTGGTCGGCCCGATATAGCTGCTGCGTGCAACGCCACACTAGACGCGAGCCACAATATCCGGGTGATGCTAGTGGACTCAGCCCTGTGGACGCCTTACGCCCGCCATACTGTACGACCTCACAGCCACGGCTAACCCTCAACACATCATGTTTGTGCTTTGATCGAAACGAGATTGATACTGACTGCTATGATGTACTAATAACCGTTATTTTCTCGTCTTGCACACTTTCTACATCATCGTGAATATCTACATCTACACCTCCATGCCCGCGCATCCACATCTGCACGTATCACCACAGCCATGACTGATCCATCTAAAGCAACAAAATCGGATCGTTTTGACGAGCTGAAGAAATCCACAGCTCCTCTAGTGAGCGTGGATAGCGTATCTACCACCACCGCAACAGCATCCTCCCTCAAGCCCCCAAGCTTACCACAACGGCCTTCATCTTCCTCATCATGGCGATCAAAACTTCACATTCATGATGACGCTCACTCCAGTTCCCGGAGATCCAAGTCTGCTGAACCAGGCAAAGAACGGTGGCGCGACGCAACGCTGAGCGAAAAGGAGCGCTGGAAGGATTGGCAAAAGGCGAAGGATAAGGAGCAGATGCGTGGGTAAGTTGCACTTCCTGACGAATCATGGACTTGGGCATGGTTGCTAACAAGTGGTGTAGGTCGACTGTAGGTTTCTTTACGCCGCTCGCATGGATGACTTTATTCGAATGAATTGGATGAGAGGAGAGAGATTACGCTCGATGATGGAGAATGGATGTTACGGAGGGGTGCATGTGATTGGTATTGCATAGCAAACAGATCACATTGGGTTGCGCGCGGAGTCGCGAGTGTACACGCAATAGGAACACGATTTTTCTCTCTAACGGAGCTCGTTCTCTCTAAGATGTTCATTCTGTTACCTTTAGGCACTGAGTCTACTCCCTCATACTTGAACGAGCTCCCCATTGTTATTTGTTTACCTCTACGTACTAATAAGCAATCAATGCTAGGACAAAACACCCAATAACAGACAACAACAACAACATGAGCCCAAGACCAATTCGCTCATCCAATAAGGAGGACACGATATATACCATATATCAGAAGGAGCAACTTGCCGGGCTTCTTCCCCATCTGTAGTACTATGCAGTCTTTCTCACGTTTGGTATCCACTGCCATCGCCATCGTGCTTCTTTTGAGACGCCTCACTTTCTCGCTCGTTCCCCCAATGTCCGCGGTACTTGGCATGGGGAAAGTACGTGGCTCGCGTGCTAGAGAATTCTCCCTAAGGATTTTCATACCCGCGTTGATGAACTCAATATTGACCGGTACACCGTAGTTGGTCTGGGTATCTTCGATGCCGTTGCTGTGAGTAGCGACGATCCTATCCGGATCATTGGTCGGAACGAGTGGGCCTCCGGAACTACCTTAGATATTGTCAGTGTTTGTTGGTACTCGATAAGACACACCGTAGATACATACCAGTAGCAGTCGAGATTTTGTACTCCAATATCTCGGTGCTCTCATTGATTGTAGCAGAACCCTGTACTCTGTGCATACAGCTACACTTTCCGGCTGGACAACTGTCGCCCACTTTCTCTTGCTTCTCAGAAGGGAAACCAAAAACGGATACCTCAAACTTCCCTGGTGGTGGTGCACTGTAGAAGGCCGGGACGAGATCTACAAATGGGCTTTTGAGCTTGATCAAAGCCAAGTCGTGAAGCCATTCCCATCCGCTCGTCTCCCATGCATGGAGTATTACAACTCCGATACCCTCACAAACTTCAACGTTTTGCCCCTCCGACCATTCTTGAAGATGATAGCCGATGCGCGCTTCGATTCGATAGGCACGGTCGATGTGGTCTTTTTTGCCATCATGTCGAACGACATGGCCTGCAGTCAAGAGCATATCGGATGCTATAGCGCCAGCAGAAGCTTGGTATTAGTTGCCTGACGCATTTACTATCGTAAGATGGACGACGACTACGTAAACCTGTCAGCCAAGATGTCGGTTCGAGGGTTGTCATTACTCACAACGGACAATTCCGAACTTGTTCTTGTACTCCTCAGGATCCACATGGATAGGAATGCTTTTCTCCACGAACACCTCTGCCGAGGAACCTTCTGGATACCCTGTGACGAGCTCCCACGCCTCAAGCATTTTTGGTAACATACCGTTTTTTTTTTGACTACAGGCAGCGTGCTGACAGAAGCAACGTTTTGTCTCGGCGCCCCTGCTATTCAAGAGCGGTGGGGCGGGGCGTACGCGCCGGTAACTGAATGTTGTAGCATGTGATGTCAGTCAAATGAACCTCAGGCGGCAGTAGTAGGTCAAAGGAGGGATGTCTGTGAATTACCAGTAATATTCACTAACGAAAGCTTTCTGTCGGGTGTGGCAAGTAGCGATTCCAGTAAACAGATTGTAGGTGGTCACTGTAGTGTGTTGTAAGGGCGAAGCAGGATGAAAGCACTCCCCACGAGCGTGGGTGCAAAGCTTATAACTACGCTGAAACTCACATGCCACGCCCCAGGTCACTCAGGTCCCCCAAATAATGGCCTTATCGAGTGTAGCCTCTATCATGCGGGTCAGTGCAGCAGTCCCAGTGCAAAGATCAGAGGGAAGCTCGCACCAGCTACTCTGTAGAGTGGGGGGGCCATGGCGGTTGGCTGACAGGCGCACGTCTTATTCGTCGCATACAGTGATATCGCATGCCGATTAGCTGGCAAACCTTTGGACATGGCAGCCCTGTCCGGTAGAGGGGTAAGTCTAGACCAGAATGCCGACGGAGGGGAGATAGCTGCGGCGAATGGGCAGAGAGTAAACCAAAAGTGAGGGACAGTAATGGGCCCATAAGCTCAGGCATTTGTGGTTGGAGTTGGCGGATAGTCCAAGTTCCTGTGTCACTGGCAGGAGGCAAGGCTGCTGAAGTGGGGTCAAAAGAGAAGCGTGTGATGCTGAGGTTACTTCCACTAGCCATGTACTGGAGTTGTTTCGTGAATAAGAGTTCACAGCAATACCCCTACGGCTAGCGCTAGAGTAGTATCTTACATAGATTTACAGTTGGTTGCCGTTATGTATACAAGTCATGTACATCGTCTACCACCAGGGCCAGTGATAACCTATGCGCGGTTTCGTCATAGGACAATGCGTTACAAGCGCGCACAGGTTATTGCCATCCGTGGTGCTACCTGCGTCTTGGTTGCCTCAGCGAGTCTGTTGTCGCTAACTGAATACAGCTTCTTGAGAGTGTTCTGATGAACCACTTCTAAGAGTGCGCGTGAGGTTCCCTTAGTCCTCAGGGATGATTCGGTCGACAGCTGCATTTCGATCAGTATTCACCTAAGAATAATAATCACGGAGACATACCTTTGCCGTTTTCGAGTAAATACCCCGAGCAGTCAATCTTCCACTCGTCTCCTCTCACCTTGACCTTGGCAATACCAAATCTTAGCACTGCAAACTTGAACTTTAAGAAGAAGTTTGTCCACTTCTGATGTACCCAACGCGCAGAGCCCTCCCACACACGGGCCGCAATGTTCATGTGTCCCAAGTCATCCCATAGTTTCTGCCGCCTAAATCGCTCTGCCTCGAGTAACTCCTGCACCATGGGTTCCGTCTTTTCACTTATTGTCACTCCTCCAAGGTTCGAGTATATGACGCGCTCTTTCAGCCACGGCACTGGCTTGACAGTCATGCGCAATTGCATAGGCCCGCCCTGCATACTTGGGAGGATTTCCATAGCTCGCATGCGGTTGCTGGGTGCAGTGCAGATGTAGCAGCCGATTATGATGAAGCTCACTCCTACTACGACATACGTCGGTCGTACGAAGAAGGATAGTCCTTGGTCTTTGATGTCGTCATTGAATTTGATCGCGAATGCCCCAACTCCTATCCACAATGCTCCTGTTCCGTACACCTTGGCATAGTACCATTTGTTCTTGGGCGCTTTGTATAGTAGGACAGGCTGGCGAGTTTGGATTACTTGGCGTAGGACTGGGTCGTTGTTTACGAATTGACCGACTTTTGGTGTGACAACAGTACTCTTGGGGTATTGGTAGCGTCGGAGCACGGACGATGTGAAAGAGCGATTGTGGCGGATAGCCGTGGGTGTGAAGGAGGATTCTCGTGTTCCGAAGAGGGCTGCGCGGAGAGATGAGGGGAGGCGGAAGGAATTTTGGCGCATGAAGGCGTCGAAGCCCCGGGAGAAAGCTGGCATTATGATTATAATGTTATAGGATACTCAATGCAGCGCTATAAGCAGTGCATACTTGGGCAAGTCAATGCGTCGATACGTGAGCGTGGATGCAGTCGCGATATGTCGGGAAAAAGTCCAACTGGAAGCGGCCCAAGCGCGTCCCGCTCAAGACCTCCGAAGCTTGTTCCGCCCAACATTTCCGCCGTCTGATCAGCACCGTCGCCAAACAACCCTCCCATTGCAATTGTCTCCGCCGGTCAATTGAATTTCCATGGCTTCGCTCGCCGCGGTATGTAGGGTCTCAGCGCGGGCTGCCTCCCAGCAGTTGCGCAGCCATGGCGCTCGGAGAGGTATGCAAGACAGGTCAAAACACCGGACAATGGACACATTTGTTGACATGACGGGCAGGACTTCACTCAAGTCAGGCTTCGCTCGCCGCGCAAAACTTCAACATGCCTGCACTTTCACCGACCATGACTGAGGGCAATATCGCGAGCTGGAAGATCAAGGAAGGAGACTCTTTCTCCGCTGGCGACGTGCTCCTCGAGATCGAGACGGACAAGGCGCAGATGGACGTAGAAGCGCAGGATGACGGCATACTGGCAAAGATCACTGTACGTGGGGAAGTGCTGTGGGGTCAATTCATGGCTAACGAGGACTGTAGGTCCAAGATGGTTCCAAAGCAGTTCAGGTCGGCACACGGATAGCAGTCACTGCAGAGCCCGGTGATGACTTGAGCACCCTCGAGATACCCGCCGAAGAGAGCCCTGCACCAAAGAAGGAGGCCGAAGCGCCCAAAGAGTCCAAGAAAGAGCCCGCACCTGTACCCAAGGAAGAGCGAACCTCTGCCCCGCCCGCGAAGTCCGATGCCTCGACGAAAGCCTCCAGCGCCAAGGCCTCCAAGCAAACATACCCGCTATACCCCTCTGTACAGCAGTTGCTTACAGTGAACGGTCTGCCCAAGGAGGAGGCTGACAAGATCCCTGCAACTGGGCCCGGCGGCAGGCTGCTCAAGGGAGACGTACTCGCATACATCGGTCAAATCGAGAACTCATACCCCTCAGAGCTCGCGAGCCGCTTTACGAAGCTCTCTCAGCTCGATTTGTCCAACATCAAGGTCATGGCTAAGAAGGACGCGCCAAAGAAGACTGCAGCTGAAGCGCCTGCGATTGTCGAGGACCTCCCGATTGAGGTCGCATTGCCCGTCTCCCTCACCGCTGTTATGGAGTGCCAGAAGCGCGTCAAGGACTCAATAGGCGTCTTCCTTCCGCTTTCGACGTTTGTCGCGAGGGCAGCCGAGCTTGCGAACGAAGACCTCCCACGATCCAAGGTCGCGAAGCCGACTGCGGACGAGCTATTCAACGCAGTTCTTGGCCTTGACAAGGTAGCCGGAAAGTACTCACGAGGAAACTTCGTTCCACAAGTGACTGCGCTGCCACCCACTACCATCCCCAGCAAGCGCGCCTCAGCACCAAAGTCGGACATTCTCGATATGTTGGTCAGCAAGAAGCCGTCCGCCAAGAGATCCGCGACAGGTGCAGCAGGTGTCGTCGGACCTCTGAATGTGTTCAGCGTCAGCGTACCCAAGGGCGACGAGAAGCGCGGCCGCGTCTTTCTCGAGCGCGTCAAGACCGTTCTTGAAGTCGAACCAGGACGATTGGTCGTTTAGAAGAGAATCAAGAATCCTTTCAAATATCGCGATCTGTATGATTATGTACTTTGGGCGAGAGGTGCTGGACATATGGTAGCTATCCCCTCTACACTTCGACCATGAATACCAATATTTAGACGAGCGTTTCACCCATGTTCATCTCTCAGCGTAGCGAAAAGGCCTTTAGCCTTTTCCTAGGACGTTTTGCCTGACGTATACAAATCGCGTTCCTAATGCATTCTTATCACGTCTGTCGCAGTGCACTTCCTTCGCACCTAGCTTCGACTGAAGAGTGGCCCACGTACCGCATTACTTCCCTTCTCATTCTGGTACCCCTCATCATCTCATGTGTATATGTAGTGTTCTTGACGATCTCATCTCATGTAGGACTGGTGGTAGGTAAATGCCGCAACCACTACCGTCACACCAACAAAATGCCGCAGTCTACTTTTGGTTGCTGCGCCTCACTAAAGAAATGCTCAAGAGCACCTAGTTTCGCCAGCAGTATATCCTCAAGCCATTTCTCGCCCCAGCCTGTTCTCTATTCCAACCCAAGCCTCTTCGTCCTAAATGTTGTCGCCCAAATTGGTTAGTGTGATGGATGGGTCTCAGAGCACGGCCTACCCCGATAAAACTTCATCGCTTGTGGAGTGGTTAAAGGAACGACGCTCCGTACAGCCAACTTCAAGCGTGAAGAAGGTGCACTGTGATTGAAAGTATGGAGGAGGCGAGGGTTTGATATAATATCTTCATTACTTTTAATCAAGGCGGTCACGTTTTCGTGGTCATGTATAATCATTCTATATACTCAGGTAACTAACTTTTGTGCTGGGCAGGTGTTCTGCTCGTAAGGAACCAATCTGCAGCCTTGTCACTGTACAATTTCTCATGGTTCACGCCTAAGCCTTCTCCTGTACGCTCCCGGTACCAACGGTGGAGGAGTCGTGGCTGTAGTAGCGACCAAAGACACGGTCTTCAATCTCCATGTTCTTGTCAACCTTTCCAGTACCGTTCTTGGCTCCCTTGTGACGGAAATAGATGCGCTTGCACCACTTCCAGAACTCAATACCCGCAAAGAAGATGCCGGTCTCGACGAAAACGATACCCCACTCCCAGTCAATAGGCGCGTGCTTAAACACAACCGTGTTGAGCACGGGAATGTAGATGAGCGGGAACAGGAGCACGAAGCCGACTATGATGGCCCAGAAGAGGAATTGGTTCCTCCACACATCCAAAATCCACTGAGTGAAGTAGCGCTTGCTGCCAGGCTGCATGCGGAAGAAAGAGCGACGCATATCAACCATCTCCCACGCAAGGAAGAGAGCGAACCATGTCAAACAGGCGAATGTGCAAGCGCGGGCACGGAAGACCAATTCGCATTGGTCCGAGTATGTCTCGTTGCAGCCCTCACCAAGCTCTCCGTCACCGAAACCGAAGACGACGAGGACGAAACTGGCCAAGCAGAGGAGTGTGATCCAGAGACCATAGACAACCATGTCTACGAGGAACTCCATGGTGAAGATACCAGTCTTGAGGGATTGGGGCGGGCGTTGCAGGATATCGGGGACGGCGCGTTCGAAACCTAGACCCATGTCTGGCAATCCCGAAGTAGCCATGATAATCCAGACAACCTGAACAGGAGCGAGAGGAAACACGGAGAGACCAGTCCTGTCTTTGAAAGCAAGACCAACAAGAAGCGTACCGGCCTGAGCGACGTTCTCGGCCAAGACGTGCAGCACGAACTTCTGAATGTTGTCAAAGATACGACGGCCTTCTTCGATAGCGGCAAGAATGGATGCGAAGTTGTCGTCTGTGAGGACGATGTCGGAAGCTTCCTTTGCGACGTCTGAACCGGCTTGTCCCATGGCAATACCAACGTCGGCACGCTTGAGCGAGGGAGAATCGTTGACACCATCACCGGTCATGGCGCAGAATCGATCGCGGCGGTGAAGAGCTTCGATCATGCGGACCTTGGTGCTAGGCGCACAACGTGCCACAACCAAGGGCAAGACAGGAAGCTCATCGACCTGGTCATCGGAAAGATCGTCGAATTCGGAAGCGGTCATCACCAGATTCTTGGCGACATCGGCAGAGATCTTCTTGTAACGGTCAGCCGAAGGAAGGATACCAACCTCGATAGCAATTGCCCGCGCTGTATCCGGGTGGTCACCGGTCAACATGTGAACCTCAATACCAGCCTCGTGGCATTGGCGGACAGCGACAGCTGACTCAGGGCGGGGAGGATCGTAGAGACCGATGAGACCGCGGAAGACAAGCTCGGATTCGACAGACGCACGTTCAACCTCAGCACCCTTCTCGACATCGGCGGGGTACTTCTTGCTGGCCAAAGCCAAGACACGTAAACCAAGACCGGCCAAAGATGCCATGTGGGTGAGGATCTCGTTGCGGAACTCCTCCGTAACAGGCTGGGATTGCTCCTTGCCGTCAGCGAGATAGGTGGTACAGCTTTGAATGACACGTTCGACGGCACCCTTGGTAAAGGCGTAGTTGCCACTGGCATGCTTCATGATGACAGACATGCGCTTGACGTCAGAATCGAAAGGAAGCTCAACGAGGTCCTCCCACGTAGCAGAATCTCCCTTGACGAGATGGCTACGGTTCATACCGAAACGAGACGCGAAAACCTGGATGGCGATTTCGGTAGGATCTCCGTGGGCCTCCCATGCTCCTTCATTGTTCTGCTTCACAGCAGCCAAGTTGGCCAAAGATGCGACCTTGAGGAACTCGCCAAAGCCCTCGACGTTGTGACCCTCAAGCTTATCGACAGAGAGACGCTCACCACAACCGTCACCTCCAGCCTTGAGATCCATCTTGCTAGGAGCAGCGGAACCAAAACGCACATGACCAGCGGTGGGGTCCTGAGGAGCAGTAGAGTCTTCGATAGTGTACGTTCCGACACCTGGAATCCAAGCGCCACGGGCAATCATCTTACCCTGGGTGAGTGTTCCGGTCTTGTCAGAGCAAATATCGGTAACACCACCGAGAGCCTCTAGAGACTTGAGATTTCGGACAATGACATTGCGCTTAACCATTGATTTGGTACCTGCTGCCATTGTAATCGTGAGCACAACGACCAAACTAGCGGGAATCATGGATAAACCCGTAGCGACGGCGTAAATGATGACTTCCTGACGAGAACTGAACTCGTTGGCTGCAAGGACGATAATGGCACAAATGACGGCAATGAAGAAGAGCAATACTGCTAACTTAGAAAGCTTCTTCTGGAGAGGTGTTCCGACATTGAGACCCAAGAAGCGACCAATAGCGTCGGTAGTGGTGAGTGTGTAAGCCTCAAGGTAACGGTGCGGCTTTGCCTTTCCGTTCTCCTTTCGCTTGACTGGTCGGACTTTGGATTTGGTCTCACGGAGTTGAGCAGCGATGGCACCAATCTCGGTGTAGGCGCCAGTCGCGAAGACAATTCCCTTGGCTCGGCCCTTGGTAACTGAGGAAGAACTGTAGGCGACGTTGAGACGATCTCCAGGGCCAGTCTTCTCATCAAAGGTAGCGTCCTCCTGCTTGCGGACAGGGAGGGACTCTCCGGTAAGCAAGGCTTCGTCAGTCTCGAAGTTGACAGCGTCGAAGACCCTGGTATTCTGTTAGCTTGTTCTCTGAGCTGAATTGACTATAGCGCACCCAGAGAGTATTCGGAGAGAAAAGTGCTCTCCATGTGCTTGGTAATAGTTCGCACTGGAGGGACTCGCAGAGAAAACGCTCTCCGTGCTAATCGACATAGTGCACCTTGAAGGGAATCACAAGGAAAAATACTAACCTGATATCGGCAGGAATCGTGTCACCAACCTTGACCTCAATGACATCGCCAGGAACAACCTCGGCGGATGGCACTGTGACTTGCTGGCCGCCACGAATCAGGCGGGCGGTCGGGGAACTGAGAGATCGTAGAGAATCCATGGTCTTCTCGGCAGACCACTCTTGGAAGAAACCGACGACAATGTTCAATCCAATGACGAAGGCGACGACACCACCTTCAATCCAGGACTTGATACCAAAACTGACAGCCATAGCCATGATAAGAACTAGAGTCATGGCATTGGCAACTTGAGCGATCAGAATCTTGACTGGCGAGACGCTCTCAGCCTCTCCAAGTTCGTTGGTGCCGTACTCATCGACACGGCGCTTGGCTTCGGCGTCATCGAGGCCATGCCACTCTTCCGTCTTCAATTCAGACTTGACTTGTTCGAGCGTAAGACTGTGGGCGGGCAGTGACATGGGTTTGTTGCATTGGCCACTGACGTGACCCTCGAGGGTCGTTGTTTTTTTCCCCATGATTGAGGATTGTTTTAGGGTTCAAAGAGCTGGGTCTTTGGTATTCGGGTTGTAAATATGGAGTGATTGCGTGTATACGGATATCGGCAGACAAGACTATGATCAACGCTCTAGTCTTCTGCGAACTCTTGCCCCGCGGACTATGGCCACGTGGACAAATTTGTTGGATTGGGTGTTGAGTGTAGTATACATAGAGGACTTCAGAACGGGGCGGGGGTGCAGACTCCTCCTAATTCAACGCCGTGATTGGCGAGTTGTAAGGTTTGTATGGGTGGGTTTAAAGGTGACGAGGCGAAAGTGTTGGCGAAGTTTGGAGCAAACTTGAGATAGGAATGTGAGTATACCGACAAGAGGTGGTGAGAAAAAGGAGGAGAGGAGAGAAAGGACCTAGGTGTCTTCAACATATATGCTAAGCAGTGGGGAAGTCGGTGTAGGAATTTGGCTCTGCAAAACCATGCCAAGCGTCACGAGTTCGTGCCAAGGACGATTCAGGTGGCCGCTGCCAAGTTAGTGCGCAAAGTTTTCTCCACCCTTGGCAGTGAACGTAGCCATTGAATGCTCATCACGTTACGGGGGTTTGCTGCAAGGTCGCGGTTACGCGGCATTTCTGGCCTTGGCCGCCTCAGGATCTTCTTGAATCTGCCTCTTCGACTGGCATTATGCAGGACCTTCCGTTTCAATGCCGCGGTGGAGCAGACGATACGCGTTTCGCAGACTCAAGCCTCGCGTTAGCAGCATCAAGCCTTGTTCGAACTGGCTGTGAGTGGCCCTCTGGAGGTGCATCGTGCAGGTTGGCGGAGTCGAGACTCAGCGGAGATACCCCGGCGCACGGACGCGGTGGTGAAGAAAAGTGTGGAGCGAGATGCCGGAGCCGCGTGTAGTTTTAATGCGAACTAAGGCGAGATGTCACTATTGTCCTTGCACGTGGGCTTGGCCATTGAGAAGTCCAATGGCTCGTAGGCTCGAAGAAATCAACGCCGCGGCTCTGAGATGACGTCGACAAAATTCACCAGGGTCCATTGCTTCTTCTTCTGAGCCGAGCGATTCCCAAGGACTTAGCAGTTGCTTGCTGCCCTCCCAGCCTCTCAACCTGATCTCCTGCCACCGTGTCTAACCTGACATGTCGTCTTCGAATCCCGACGCCGCGCCATTTCTGCAGTATCACGAGCCCGAAAGTAAGCGCGTCGACATCCCCACCTTCCCTCTCTGAAACGTCGATCTCAACTAACGTAAGCTTAAGTCGTTGACATTCTTATCCTGGTGTCTTTCTTCACCTTCCTATGGCTTGCTGAGTACGTTTCGGCCAAGGTTATCCGTGCCGGTATCATTGGGCCGATTGCTGTTGGCATCATCTACGGCGAGCCGTTGGCAAACATCCTCGAACATGATTGGGCTGGTATGCATCCCTGCTTCGGGAAATGCGACATTTGCTGACTCTGTGCCCCGGTTTTTTAGAGACGTTCCTATATCTTGGCTACATTGGCCTGATCTTGATTATCTTCGAAGGTGGTTTGAGCACTCGCCTGGATCTCCTCAAGGCCAACTTCACGCTGTCGATCTGTGGAGCTACAACGGGTGTGTTGTGTCCAATCGGTTTCAGCTATCTCTTGTTGTATCTTGGGTTCGGCTACGGCGCTGTTGAGACCTTCATCATCGGCGCTGCTCTCAGTGCCACGAGCCTGGGCACCACCTTTGCTGTCATCTCAAGCGCCTCCAAGGACGTCGATCTCAGCCAAACCAAAGTCGGCGCTGTGCTCGTCAGCGCTGCAGTCATCGACGATGTCACAGGTCTCGTCATGTCCAGTGTCATCCATGACCTGGGTAGTATCGCTTCTGGAGGCGACGTCAACCTGGGATGGCTGATCGGCCGACCTATCGTCGCATCTGCGGCCATGGCGATACTTACCCCAGTCCTCACCAAATGGTTCTTCGCCCCTATATTCCGGAGATACATCGAGAAGCACTTCCACAAGTATGACCACTTGTCAAACATCATGCTGATGATTCTGGTGTTATCAGCCTTCATCTCGGTTGCAGCCTATGCGGGGACTTCCATTCTTTTCGGAGCTTTCCTTGCTGGTGCGTTCTTGACGTATCTTCCTTCTACGCATCCAGAAGGTCCCTTCGTGGTTATGAGCAGAGAGGAAGGCGAGCGCTCCAAAGACAAATCGCCAACCTTTGTGCATACCTTTGAAGTCTACTGTTTGGACGCGCAGCAGTATGTGCTCGCGCCTCTCTTCTTTGCTAGTATTGGGTTTGCAATCCCTTTTCTAGATCTCTGGACTGGAGAAGCTATCTGGAAAGGCGTTGTATATACACTACTCATGCTGGTTGGTAAGGCTATTGTAGGTGTGTGGATCCCAATCTGGGCCGTCGCAAAGCATGATCCTAAGAAGGCGTGCGAGTCACAACAAGAAGAGTCCGCGGCCGAGAACGGACATTCTCTTGAGAAGGTCAAATCCTCTCCTGACTCACCCACTCGCGGAGCCGCGTTACAATCCTCCGTCTCACCCATGCTTTTGTTGGGTATGGCTATGGTCGCACGTGGAGAGATTGGCCTACTAATTGTGGAAATTGGGTACAATAACACACCTTATGTTTCTCAAGAAGGCTTCATAACAGCTATTTGGGCCATCTTGCTAAACACAATCATTGGACCTGTGTGCGTTGGAATAGCCGTCAAGTACAAGGGTGCTAAGATCAGCAAAGGGCCATGGGGCTTGGTACCAGGACCTAATCAAGCCATTGAAGAAGAGATGGGCAGGAGAAGAGAGTCGCGTCTGGAACAGCAGATGCAAGAGGAGGGAGAGGCGAGGATGGAAGCGCATCGTAATAGTCAGATGGCATGATTGACGATATGTATGAGAGATCAGGATTTGCACGACACACCAAAAATAGATTTCCTGCTTCGAAGCATCTTGTACAATATTTACACACAACTAGTACCGTAAAGTAATCTATTGGGATACAATAATATCCCTTCCTTCCCTGCTTCCTTCCTTCCCTGCTTCCTTCCTTCCCTGCTTCCTTCCTTCCCTACTCCCTCATCACTCCGTCTACCTCGTCTGCATCTCAAACAATGCCCGGAACCCACCGACTCTTCACCCTCCTCATATAGGCCAGATACTCGACCCTGATTCCCTCCCTAGTCTTCTCCCCACTTACTGTCTCCTGGTCTTTCAAGAACTGCTCTTCCTCCAATACAGCTCCCCTCCTATACAGCCACATAAGTCCCACCGCAGCCGTCACCAGCCCCGCACTGCGAACTGGCAAAGACATCCACGCACCCTCTACATCAGTTCCCTTGGTGAGATAGACAGGTAGGTAGGATATGAGGACATACGACACAGCGCCCAGCCACCCCAACGCATAAGAAACATACGTCGGATGCCTCGCATACGCGAAAGGACCCATATCGACGACGTATTGTGGTGTTACGCGACCGAAGATGACGGAGAAAGTGCGGGGTCGCGTAGTTAGTGCCGTCCATATGAACAGTAGCTGACTGCTGAGGAAGAAGGCGGCGGCTATCGTAGTGCCGAGAGGAGTGGTAGTTGAAGAGGAGACGATAGGCGTCCAAGATAGTAATCCGGCTATGACCGAGAAGAGCTTGAGTAGCTGGATGGAGATTGGGTATGCGAGGCCGGACGGCGGGTGTGGAAAGTGGAAGTTTAGCGCGTAGAGTTGGGTGGCTAGGAAGGCGAGATAGAGAGGTGGGAGGAGGGTTGGCATTTTTTTTTTGGCTGTATCTGTACAAAGTCAAGGTTGTCCTAGAGTAGTAGTAGATGCGATATTCTTCAAGAAGATTGAGCGAACACTCGATATTTATGTAACGCTCTCATTTTCGCAACTGTGAAATCCTTCTGTCTAGATGTGTAACTCTGAAGTCGAGTCTACGTCACGGAGCATTCCCCGACGAGATTCCTTGTCGCACATCAGTTGCCGTCATTCATACTTTCTCTATAGCTCGCCCGTCAGTAGTTGTGTGCTCGCGTAAAGTGTTCGGTTAGTTCGGAAGGGAAAAATTGGAGCAGTAGACGTCATTATGTTGATAGATAATTGTTCCTTGGCAATATGAACAGGAAGGCAACACCAAATGTTAGGGGGTTTCAAGAGATACAATCAACACAGGATATGTGTAATTACGTGAGAAATAAATAAATAAATAAGAGATAACGATTGAGTTTGTGGATGTCCTACATCTGCGAATATCGTCCTGCGCCCTCCACAGCTCATATGACATCGACACGGATGTTCTCGAAATGTACAGTGAGAAGAACCTTTTCCAAGGCTGACTTCATGTTGGAGCTGGTTAGAAGCTGGGGGCGTTGAGTGCCATGACGCAAAGAAGACCTGAAATAAGACCGGCAACGGGTAGGGTCAAAACCTAGAATTGTTAGAGATAGGAATTCATAGCAAGGGGAAGGAAGCTTACCCATCCTGAGAAGATGAAAGCCAGTTGGCGCCAGTTGACAGCACCAAGGTCGTAGTTCATCAAAGCGACTCCAACCGCCGAACCTGTTAAGCACTGGGTTGTTGATACTGGAAGGCCAAGTCTAGAAGCCAGGAGAACAGTGACAGCAGCGCCCAGCTCGACAGAGAAACCACGAGTTGGCGACATCTGAGTGATCTTGTTACCAAGCGCACGGACGATGTGGTATCCGTAGAACCAGAAACCAAGACCGAGCAGGAGACCGGCGACTACCAAGAACCACACAGGGGTAGGCGAGCGTGTAGCTACCTCACCAGCCAGGTATGTCTGGTAGACAGCAGCCCATGGTCCGACGGCGTTGGCTACATCGTTGGAGCCGTGCGCGATGGACATCATCATAGCGGACACGACTTGGCAGTATGTCCACAGATGTTCGACGCGAACGTCATATCTAGTAGCCTTTGAGTGAATAGCGCGCAAAAGGTCGTTGTCGTGTGTAATGACGTCGCACATGACACCTCGGAGGAAGATGAACTTGGTGTATAACCACCACTTCTGAGGGTTGACCCATGAGAGAGGCTTAGCGGGAACAATCCAGCGTTCGTAAGGCTCTGGCTTCTTCAGTTTTCGTACTGGCGCACTAGCACTCTCCTCCAGACGTGTCTTTTCTGGGTCGCTGGGAAGAACGCCACTGTTGTTCACCGAACCGGATGGAGATCCAGCATCGACTTTCTTAATTTCATCGTCGTTGGCGGGGGTTGCGACAGCATGCTTCGTGTTAGTTCCAGCATGAACTTCACCGTAGGCGTCCTCGTAGTAATTGGTGACGTATTCGTTACCCTTGCCTGGCCAGAACAAAGTGGTGCTCTCCTTGAGGAGCAAGGGGCCCAGGACGACGTGCCAGACTCGGACACGAGGATCCTTCATAACAAGCTTGCGCTTGAAGAATGGGATGAAGAAAACGTAGCAGATAATCAAGCATCCAAAGAATACACCCAGGATGATACCAGCAGCCTTACCAGCTCCAAATTCTTCGAGGGAAGGTGCAGTAGGTGCTTCGACAACAATGAACAGAGCTAGAATAGCTCCTGTCATGGCGAAGTAGAAGGGGATGAGGCGCATGGCGTGCTTGAAAGGGTCGGCGCGTTCGAGAACCGAGTACTTGACGGTGCCGAAGATGATGGCGGAAAAGGCACCAGCAATCAAAGGTGCAATGCCCCATGAAGCAGCGACCTGTGATACTGAGCCCGACTCCCACGCCCATTTGATGGGGGCCTGACTAGCGAAGCCAACTCCGATGAGAGCGCCAACCACGGTTTGGGTGGTTGACACGGGCATTCCCAGATGCGTAGCTAGCATCAACCAGAAAGCGCTACCAACCTCTACTCATATTTAGCTCAAGCTCTTTTTACGGACTAGAAACACTCACCAGCACAGCCCATGGCCAACATGAGCGCACCTGGGTTGCCCGTAAAGCGATCGATGGAGATGATACCATTCTTGATGGTCGAGGTCACACGGGCTCCGAGCGCAACAGCACCGATAAATTCTGTTACGACGGCAAGAGGTCCGACCTGGACCATGGTCAAGGTACGAGCAGCGACGGAGGTAGCATAGGCGTTGGCGACATCGTTGGCACCGTTTCCAAAAGCGGAGAAGACGAAGGCAATCGTGGTGATTGCAAGAATCCAATCATACTTGGCTGTGACTGGATGCGCCATTCTGAGTATGTAGTCGTGGAGCTGTGCTTGACAGAACCCTAGCTCCCGGGAACATGGTCAGTCTTATATAACCCGAGTATATATGTAGCACATGGCAGTGCAAGACATCGGCTTGACGCCGGGCTTAGGATGACAAGATGTGCCCAGAAGACAAGATGTGGAAGGATGGGCGCCGAGGGACTGGTGACGGGTCGGAGCGCAGATGTTACTTTCAGCCATTGGAGCGCGTTTTTCATACCATGTTCCTACTCGTGGTGAGGTTCCGCCAAGTGCATGAGACTTGCCCAGAGATTCCGCTGTCTTGTCTCCGCCTTGGAGGGCCGCAGGGTGCAGGATTTTTCTACCAATAGACTTGTGTATATTAGACACGCATTGAAGCAGTTGGCTATCGAGGCCGCGCGTGCTCCGAAGTGTCTAACAGGCTGTGTATTGAGATGGCAGTTGTGGAGTCAATGAGAGTAGCTGTTGGGAGAGGCCGTGTTCTAGCACCACAGAAGTTCGTCATCAGCGGCCACTACTGCCCAGAGGCCAGAAAGCAGCGACATCGATTCGTTGACAACGTATGACATTGTGGTACATACTGGTGGTTGCTGGATGTGGTTGCAATGTTGAAGCTCTCACGTGGCCTTGAAGGGAAGGTGGAGTCGGTGCAACGGTATTTGGCCGTGGCGTCATAGCTGACGCAGGCCACACCTGCATTATGCTATAGCGCTCCTTCCTTCGGAGAGTTCCATTGCAATGTTTTGGATAGTGTTAAATTCCAACGAGACACCTTTACCTGCACTGAAGACGCGCGCTATAACACGGATGTCCCTTTCTCTCCTATTTTGTCTGTTCCTGGCCATGGTTCCCGAGGTGCCTTTGTACATCAGACTAGTGACCCGAGTGCCGAATCAAGGCGGTCATGCAGGTGCTTGCAAAAGCGATATCGCATCAGAGAGTAGAACAAGTGTCTTCTTACTGATCAAAATACTATGGTACTTCGGTCCCTGATCGGCAGATAGCTGACAGCTGCCGGTGCTTCGCGAACCACAAGAAGCGGTGCAAAGGGTCGCGTGTGCCTGGGCGATAGGTGACGCTAAAGCTTGACAGCGCGCGCACCGATCCGGGGTAGATAACCTTCTCCAGCAACACAGAGCCTCATGGGGACCGGCAGCTGCAGCGATACCGATTTCACCCTTGCGTTGGACTGATTACTTGTCCCCGGACAGTGGTTTGTGGCTCCATAGGCGCATGAGGCTCTTGATTAGAGTGTTCTCTATATAGAGTCTGACAGGGGCCGCGGGCAATGAGGCGACGCCGGGAAACAGGTAGTGCGGGAATGAGGCGGAAGCAGGCGGTAGAGGTTCTTGTGTGAACAACCACAGGCCACAGTGAAAGCAACACTAGGTAATAGGACTTGAAGATATTCCCCCTTGGACAGTAGTAAGTAGCTCAGGACGTTGTTCGCAGCCGCGCCTTCCCCACGCTTTTTCCGACCCCCGCCAATGGCTCGCAATTAAAAAATTAGCTTACCTCCGAGCTCGCTGCCAGGCCGCGAGGTGTTGTCGACGGCGTGTTGGCCGACTCACCCCATACTGTGTCCCTCTCTACCTTCTCTCAACTGACCCGACGACCTCCCCTAGGTCAATTGCACCCTCAACTGCCCGGGCTGCTGTCATCCCCTCACTATGGCGACCGTCACGGAAGAAGTGCGCGAGGTGCTGCTGGGCACCACCGACGAGCCCCAGCTGTCGCAGCTAACGCGCGCTGCCTTTATGAAACACGCTCAAAAGGACGAGTCAGGCGAATACTACCTCGACCAAGACCAATTCATCACAGCTGTCGCGCCCGAGGGCGAGGACTACGTAAGCAGGGCTGTCTGCATAGTATCGAGTCATCTAAGCTAATGACGTGCCCGCTTCCAGCACAAGATCAAGCGGTACCAGTATGGCATTCTCTTCCAGGTTGCCGATCGCGACCAGAAGGGCAAGGTCAGCATCCACGACTGGTCTGTCTTCCAGAACCTGCTCGCCAAACCCGACGCCGAGTACGAGGTCGTCTTCCGCTTCTTCGACAAGCAGCGGACCGGCTACATCAACTTCGACGACTTCTACGAGACATGGAAGGCGCACAAGACCGAGGACAGCCTGCCCTTCGACTGGGAGGGCGGCTGGGCCTCTCTATACATTGGCTCCAAGAAGCACAGGCACACCATGACTTACCCCCAGTTTGCCCAGCTGCTGCGAGGGCTACAGGGAGAGCGTGTGCGACAGGGCTTCACCTATTTCGACAAGAACAAGGACGGCTTCATCGAGCCCGAGCACTTTCAGCGCATAATACGCGAGACTGCGAGCCATAAGCTCTCCGACTACCTACTTGAGAACCTCCCAACTCTCTGCAACATCTCGGTTGGCAGCAAGATTTCCTACGCCAATGTGCGCGCCTTCCAGAACGTCATCCAGCAGATGGACATGATCGAGCTCATCATCCGCAATGCCACACAGAAGAGCTCCGACGGCAAGATCACTCGTACAGATTTCCTCAACGAGGCTGCGCGGATAAGTCGCTTCAACCTTTACACACCCATGGAAGCAGATATTCTCTTCCACTTTGCTGGCCTGGACGAGGCTTCTGGGCGACTCGGGCTGCGAGACTTTGCCCGCGTCCTCGATCCATCGTGGCACACTGCAGGATCTTTGGCAGCTGCCGGCATATCCGAAGCGGGCCAAAAGGTCTTTGCGACGACAAAGTCGATATGGCATGACATTCTGGAGTCGATTCACCATTTCGCGCTCGGTTCGCTGGCTGGTGCGTTTGGTGCCTTTATGGTCTACCCCATTGACCTGGTCAAGACGAGGATGCAGAACCAGAGGAGCTCAGGTGTCGGACAAGTCTTGTACAAGAACTCGCTCGACTGCGCAAAGAAAGTCATCAAGAATGAGGGCTTCAAGGGACTCTACTCTGGTGTCCTACCTCAGCTTGTTGGCGTGGCGCCCGAGAAAGCTATCAAGCTCACGGTCAACGATCTTGTGCGTGGCAAGATGACGGACAAGTCAACGGGCCAGATCAAGTTCACCGCTGAGATGTTGGCTGGTGGTACTGCCGGTGCCTGTCAAGTTGTACGTCAATTCCCGCCATGACCATGTCGAGCAAGAATGAGTGCTAACACTTTATACCCAGGTCTTCACCAACCCTCTCGAGATTGTCAAGATTCGGTTACAAATTCAGGGAGAGCTGTCCAAGAACGTCGAGGGTGTTCCCAGGCGGTCCGCCATGTGGATCGTTCGTAACTTGGGTCTTGTCGGTCTCTACAAGGGTGCTAGCGCATGTCTTTTGCGTGACGGTACGTATCGGTCGCTGTTGCATCTTGGTGCTCACTGACACCTTGATTAGTCCCCTTCTCCGCCATCTACTTCCCCACCTACAGCCATTTGAAGAGGGACTTCTTTGGCGAGAGCCCGCAAAAGTCACTAGGTGTACTACAAATGTTGAGTGCTGGTGCCATTGCTGGTATGCCTGCAGCGTACTTGACCACACCATGCGACGTTATCAAGACTAGGTTGCAGGTAGAGGCGCGAAAGGGCGAGGTTGCATACACTGGCCTTCGTCATGCGGCGAGTACCATCTTCAAGGAAGAAGGTTTCAAGGCCTTCTTCAAGGGTGGCCCTGCCCGTATCATGCGATCGTCACCACAGTTCGGTTTCACATTGGCTGGTTACGAAGTTTTACAGCGAGGTGAGTCTTTCATCGCCCCCCTCATGCGCAATTGTCGACTAACATGTTCGCAGCTTTGCCGATGCCGGGATCTAGCCATGATTCGTCAAGCCTGGAGCCATCAGTCGGCCTTGAGGAGGCCACTGCGCCTTTGCCGTACCTGCGCAGCCGAAACGCGCTCAAGGTAATCCTCGACCTTGACGAGAACTTTGGTCGACCCAAGCTGCCCGCTGGCAGCAAGTTCAGTGGGATTCCCGGATTCGGCAAGAGGCCGGAAGCGTGATAGGATCATGCACGTGCTTAGCCGATGTGCATTATTACGGGTGAGGGATAAAATGGGATTGGACGATTTATGGGTGGGATACCGTTTCTGGCGCCAACAACAGTTTTATCAGCCACGACTTGTTTTGGGGCGTTGATCTACCGAGGAGCATGTTTTTACTCGCTAGTTGGCAGTGACTGTGGGGGGTAGGCGTGTTTGTCACAGTTCTGTTGGAGCATTTCTCAGCGGCACAGTAATAGACAAGAGCGCATGCAGCATAAGACTGTACGATAGGGCGGTCGCATTTGACAGTGGGAGGAGGGGGGGAAAGGTGGATGTGGACTGCATGCTCTAGTTGGACACGCATGCACATGTAGTCGACAAGTGTCCGGGTAGATAGAATAGGAGGATTTCTAGCATAGCCTGGCGTTCAGACTGGGTAGTTAATATAGAGGGTAGCTTAATCCGGGTGCCGCCTGTCAAGCGAACAACAAGCCGCAGCAGGGCAACATGCCACGACGCCGCATGAGTTTCCGCGAATAGCCAATGCGACGAATTTTGCCGTGAGAGAGAATTCGCAGAAGCCGCGCAGAGGGATAGTTCAGGAAGTCTAGGAGACGGGCCAAAGAGCAAAAGTCACAATAGGGCCGATGGAGGCTTTTTGGGCGTGAAAGAGGCGGGGCTGGGCTCGGTCCCCGTGGAGTAGCTAAAGGTGCATGTGGGGTCCAAGAGCAGCTAGCGGCTATCGGTGCGGGGATGGAAACTTCGGTGGGAGCCTCATAAAAACTGGATTGGATTAGAGCCTCGCTCGCGCTGTAGGTAAGCTGGCGCTGCGCCTCGTAGGAGCCAGAGGGAGGGCGTCTGGCGCGACCATGATTTCGTCTAGATCCATCGTCCTCAAAGACGACTTGACTTGCACACGCTGTCCTTCACCCTCACTGCCCAGTTGATTCTTGTATCTTGCACCGCTGACCTAACCCCGACTTCCGCCTGTTCCAGCGTCCGCAGCCACGGCCGTCCAGTCAACAACCCCCCGCAAGTCAGCCTCCTCACCCGCCGCAGTCCCCCAAAAACTATCCGCTTTCTGCATGCCGTAAGGGCAGTCGAGGCTCGCACACTGTCACCATCATCTATGCCATTCGTGAACAGACGCCCGTCCCATCGCAGCCTGCGCGAGTTGATGTTTGCGATCGGCAGAGCCCTTCGACACCGCCTTGAGGCTGAAAAAGAGCCGTCGCACTGGCACCCTCGGGTACGTTTTCACCGCGCAGAGCCGCTTCAACGTTGGCGTCTTTACTTTGCATCATATCTCCACATATATTTCGCGACTCATGATACTGTTCGCTGTATTTCAATTCCGATGACCAACAACCCGTCTTTTCCACATAGTTACCCCTGCTCTGCCCCATTCGCTCGATCCGAGCGTCTCTAGCCTGGCACGCTTCTGACGGCACCTGGCTTTTCTCATCTCTGTCCATCATATCAGTTCCGCCAGACTCGCAGCTCCGAAGCCTTCTTCTTCTTCCATCCTCGTGAGAAGAATGCAGCCCATGGTCATGCTGACTCTCCTCCAGACAGCTATTCAAGATTGGTCTTGCTGTGCCACACGTTCTCTTCATCGCCGCCTGGGCCTCTCTCTGGGAGCATTCGCTGAACGGTCGCTGGGATAGTTACCCGTTCACTCCATCATCTCAACAACTGCTTGCCTAACCCGCGGAACCCGCTGTCCAGATGCTCGACGTCATCCAATCCGTGGAATACTATCAGGACGACGAATTTCTTACAAAATCACCACTCTTAGAAGCCCGAATTGTAAAGGCAACACCATCTCCGACGCCACCACCTCTCGTAACAACAGTCGTCCGCCACCTACCCAGCCGACAGAGTGTCAGTCCATCTCAATCTCGAAATCAGAAAAAATCTAATCGACACAAGATCCGAACTCGGCCTACCCAAGGGGATTGGGTACTCATTCGTGAGATGGACCCTAATCAACCAGACATTGCCCAAAAAGCAAGCGAGCAGGCCCTGAATTCCGACTCTGACTCCGATCCTGAACATGGTTCAGAAGACGACGAGATGCCAGATGCCGACTCTCTCAACACGGCAACTGCCCCGTCCGTCTCCAACAATGGTCAGTCGGTGCCGCCAACTCAGCAACCCACCTTACTAGAAGTGCTTGGCTCAGCACCCGATCCAAAAGCGACAGCTACTCACAGAGACTCAGTGATCGAAGACGAAGTCACTAGACCTTTTGGCCTCGCAGCAGACAGGCGCACGTCTCAAGCATCAGCAACCCGCATAGCACCGAATAGCCTGCGGCCTACGACAAATGGAATAAATAGAACGCCGTCTATCTCAACCGCATTGTCCAACGTGTCATTGCAGCCACCAACCCAATTGACACAAGGCTTGGCAAACGGTCTTTCCCAAGAACATGAATCAGCAACATCCCCCGGTCTACGACAACTAACGATTCCGCGACCGAGGGGGCTTTCGGCGGATACCCTGCCAGCATTACAGGCCCCATCACCTGCGCGTGATGCAACAGCAGGCTCACCTAGTCAACAGCTACCTTCATTCCGGCACATGGATGATATAGCGAGATCAGCAACGAGTGATCATGAAGCAACTAGATCCAATAGCATCAGCTTCCCACATCGACAATCCGTATCTTCAGTAGGACAGTCACCAACATCGATAGCGCGTCAATTGTCCATCAGCTCTCATTCTCCGGCAACACCATTTCCTCCACTAAGTGCCTCTTCGCCCATGAGTGCCCATGAATTACCACATCGAGGCGACTTGTTCCTACGCACCTCCGGAGGAGGAGCATTTGGTACGGATGCTCGGAGGCCTTCGCATGCAGCATCAGACAACAGTCCTTACACAGCCACACTGCACTCTGCATCGACCAGTGACAGCTATCAGAGCTCGGAAGGCCTCAGCCCTGGTGCACAGCCAACGCCCATCGAACCACGGCAAAGACATATGAGTTTGGATGGCGCGCTCGCATCAAGAGTGCTGCCACCTCCACTGAACTCCGGCTTACAACAACAAACGACTCCTCATATTGTTGGATGTTTCAAATGCGACTATCCAGGCTGCACTGCTGCTCCTTTCCAGACGCAGTATCTCCTCAAGTGAGTTATATCGGTTTTGAAATCAACACTATCGTCGAGGTCTTGATGCTAAGTAGTGCAGTTCACACACCAACGTACATTCGTCAAACCGGCCACACTACTGTCCAGTAAAGGACTGCCCGCGAGGCGAGGGCGGTAAAGGTTTCAAACGGAAGAACGAAATGATACGGCACGGGCTCGTGCATCAGTCACCTGGCTATGTATGCCCATTCTGCCCAGATCGCGAACACAAGTATCCGAGGCCAGACAATCTGCAGAGGTGCGTGACTTTGTTTGAACTTTGGTCCGAGTCGAGCTAATAGGAGTTGTAGACACGTACGCGTACATCACACTGATAAAGACAAAGACGACCCCCAGCTCCGAGACGTCCTTGCTCAGCGACCTGAAGGTGGCAGTCGGGGGCGAAGAAGACGTGTAAGCGACTCTGGTCATTGAAACACTCTTTCTGCTCGAATCGTTGAGCGTTGGATGTTCTGTTAGGGGCATCGTAACACCGCTCTGAATTTTTCTTCTCTTGCCTATCCTTTCAGTGGAATTCTTGGCTTTCTTTTTCTCGGCGCTTAGCGGATCCTGGCGTTTGTAATTCAACTTCGTGGGAGGGTGGCAATAACTGACTGGGTGGCTGGCGTAGGGAGGTCGACTTTTGTTTCATCAAGCCAAAGATGGGACATCCAACTCTTCTTCCCCCCTTTTTTTTTCTCTCTCTTTTGATATTCAACCATTTCTTGTAATCCTACGATGGATCTTTTTTTGTTACTTTCACTTTCTTTTCCTTCGCTGGATCTATTCGACTTCTAGCTCTTCTCACTTAACACTTCTCGATCATATTGATACTATGTTCTAAGCTTCGGCTTGATACTCCTACTGGTATTGTCTTATTATACATATATTGTCGAGTCTATTGAGCTTTCTGGTCTCCATGCACCTTACAATCAAAGACGCTTTGAATAATAATTATCTCGGAGATACTCAGCCATACTGGTGAAGAAGGCCTGGTGTTAGCGGATAAGTTGGATAACTTTTCAAATCTTCAGCAACCAGATAATCTGGTAGGGATTCTGTGCAAAGGGGAGATAACAAAAGACGTAGGAGATGGGTACGGGGCGCGCGATGCCATGCTCACGGCTCGGTGGTATACGAAGATTGGCAATGGGACTGGGAGTTTCGAGGTGCGCAGTAGTATAAAAGTTTTCTTACCTGGTGAGAAATGAGGTAAACAGGCAGCCGTAACGTGATGGGACGCTAGTAAGGGTGTGCGCGTAGAGGGGGAAATAGTAATGGAAGGCTAATCGCATAATCACGTGTGCGAGTAAAGTGCGAAACAACATCCTCGGAACTGCCACCACGTTGAATTGCAACTTAGCGTTGGAGAACAAACTCTGTGTTGATTTACTGTCGCCTGTACGGGCTCGGTCGACAGTTTTTGGAGAGACATTTTGGGTAGACATTTTGGGCGTTATCACCGTGGCGGCGACGTTGAGACTGGTAGTTGAGGAGCTTTAGTCGAGGTTGGTAGAGGACTGAAAAGTTCAAAACACTCAAATTCGCCGCTACGACTCTGTCCGAGCTATCTATACCAGTACGTACGAAGTGAGAGTGAAAGCACAATGGTCGCGTGCGGGTGAACCGTGGCTTCCACCTACGCAACTATTTCGACATGTGAGATAATAACGCAAACATGCGTGAAAGAACGAGATTAGACATTCAAGGTCCAAGCAATACTCATGTATACATATGCTCCCTCTAGAGCGCCTTTTGCGCCTCGCCATAACAACCGAGGAAATGCAATAGTGGAAATAAGAACTCGCTGTTCCAACAGCGGTGACTTCGTGAAAATCGTTGACGAGTAACAATGAATGCTGTTTCGAAATGGCTCCAAATGGCTACATCTAAACGTGTACAGTAGCACGAGGCTGGAAATGCGAGAATATGCGAGGTTATCTGAGCGGCGACGATGCTCGACCTTCTACAGGCGTCGGTTCTGTTGTGACTTGGATACTAGGTAATCTTTCAAGATCTAGGTTCAGTACTGGCAACTGTGGTGCCCTGGTGTTAATCGGGCTTTCGTAGTTGGGCGGGTCCTCGTATGCCGGCGCGTCTTCCCGTGGTATTTCTGGTGACGGTCCACCACTTCCACTATGACTTCTCTCCGGGTTCAGCGGAACGACCTCAAAGCCTTCGCTATTGGGACCGGTTGAGTGTGAGTTTGAGCGTGAGGCATCTGCGAAGTCGTAGTCGTCGGATGCGCGGGAGTCGACAGACTGTGCGAGGGAAGTAACGGAAAGGCCGCGTTGGTGTGCGTCGCGACCACGGCTTTGACCAGAGAATGACGCCGCGGAGTCGAGAAGAGGTCGGTTGTCGCTTTCTGAAGAATTCGCCCTTAGACGGGTGCCGTCATGCCTTGCAACGCCGAGGTCGCCATATGCTACGGCAGATACTCGTTGTTCGCGGCTTCGGTTTCTGGCCTGGTGCTCAGCGATGAGCATCTGTGACACAGAGAGGTCTGCAGCCTCTTCGGCCCTTCGCCGGATATCTGCTAGGGCTTGGACGTCTCCACGGGCGCGCGCCTCTCGTCGTGCCTGCCGTCGTGCCTCTCGGTCTGTTGCTTCGACTCGTCGTGCCAGTCGTATTTGGTATAGAGACTCCATCTCTTCTTCTCTTTGTCTCTCTTCCTCGTCTATTGTCTCAGGGAGCTCGACAACAGTGTCGACGCCGGCTCGCTCACCCTCACGGGCCAAGACCCTCTCGTTCTCTCGTGCAGCGGAAGAATATGCGGGCAGCGTCATGACACTGCGAATGGATGTGTTCCTGTCGACTCCAGCTCCCGTGGCGCCGTTCATTTGCCTCTCGGGATCCGCTGTTGCGGCTCCGCTCATCTCACCACTTGCTCTGCTTGTGCTCCCCCGGTATTCGGTATCCTGTAAACTCGTCGAGTAGTCATTTCGGCGCGGGCGCTTGCGGAAGGCATTCCAGGAGAACAACGAGGGTAGTTTATCGTTGGACGACTGCTTTGCTTTCTTTGCGGCGCGATACGGTGCCCGGAATTTGAGGGTCGAGAAGTATGTGACTATGAGTATGACGAAGATGGCGACGGCGATGACGCCAACCTAGGCAATCAGGGTCAGCCAGCAAGACTTGCATAGGAGTGGCTGCACATGGAGAACTTACAACGACAAAGGTCCTGCCCTGTTTGGAGATCTCTCTCCGCTCCAACGCGCCTTCCCTTGCATGCCGCGCGGGTAACAACATGGTACCAAAACAACCATAGACCGGGTCCGTCAAACGTCAAATGCTTCAACCAAAGGATGTTGCCTGCCGAAGCCTTGTTTTCACAATGAGATCACTTGTTTAGACAAAGGTGGATCGCCCAGGCTTCGGAAGGCCCGCGTTCTTGGTTCCTGTTTCGCACTAGGAGCTGTCGAACCGTTGTGTCGAAACGTCTGGGCAAGCGGCGGCGGCGGCGGCGGTGAGCGAGTCGTAGATGCGGTTAGAATAATGGGGGTAGGAGGTGTCAGGTGTATAGTCTCGGAATAACTAGACGACTGACAACAATGGGGGGAAAGCTGCGAGTGATGTTCTGGCTAGGCCTGCGCCTGGATGCCTGCCTTGGCAGCTGAGGGTTGATGCGGATGCTGGGATGATGGGGAGCAGTGACCAGGGCTCTGTGGCTGGGGAAGCGGCGGCTGGACAACTAGACATCAAACCTACAGGATTGTGTAGCACAGTAGTACTCTAGCGATTGAAGCTTTAGCCGGCTCTCAACGGTTTTGTAGTATTACCACCAGGTCCCTCACCTCAGCAGTTGAGGCAAAAGCAAGAGCCCATGTCATGTCCAAAACCTGCTGCTATTTTAGGGCCTCTCCCAGATTCAAGGATACACTAGCGCCGGCCACTGATTGGAGCTCGTACTGCATAATGATCGCACTTCACATGTTTGATCTACAAGTGTGGCACAGGCGACGCCCGTCGTAATAGCGGCCGTAAATTATTCCAAAGGGTATATGCCTCGATGAGTAAAGTCGTCAATGGCTACGCTGGCTAAAACTTCAAAATAGATACAAGAACTTTGCGTACTTCCACGATACTAGAACTTCTTATCCAACTTTTTCAAAAAACTGCCAATGCCCTTCTCCACTTTATCTACCCGCTTTCCGATGTTGGAGTTGCGTTGCGGCGCATTGGGATTCTCGTGGTCTTGCACTGCGGCTTCCGTCTCAGTTGGTCTGTAAAGCTGTTGATGCAAATTTTGTCCCTGCGGCTGAGCTGTTGTGCTGCCATACTGGTATTGCGCGTAACCCGGGGAGGCCATTGGCTGATATTGCTGTGGAGGGAATCCAGGAGATGGTACAGCGGAATGTGCTGGAGGCGATTGGGGAGCGGGAGGGAAGCCAGGCGAGTTCGGGTAGTTGGCATACTGCTGAACGGGCATGGTGGATGTTCGCTTCATGGCTGGAGGTGGTGGGGTATGGCCATTGTATTGACCTGGTGGAGGAGCAGAGGGAGGTGGTGCAAACGATGGCGGACTTTGCGGTGCACTGGGCACTGATCCTGTCGTGTTTGTACGCTGCACGCTTGGTGGTCCAGTGAATCCCTGGCCTGGTGCTGGTGGTCCTGGAAAATATGATCCTGATGTCGGCTGAGGCGCAAACGAGGCCTGTAGTGGGTTGCCGTATTGCTGGTCATGCACAGCGGCAGATCCAAGACCAGTGCCGTCATTGGCATCTGGGGGCGGCGGTGTCTTTTCGCGATGTGCGATAGGCTCGGGCGCGGCTGGAGCTGCCGGGTTGTATGCCATTGGAGCGTAGTTGGGTGGCTGCTCGTTGGGAGGGGGCGATGTCGGTGCAGGCGCGGTTGGAGGGCCAGGAAATGATTGCGTTGTGCTAACGCTTTGGCTCCGACTTGTATGTGATATGGCTGCACTCTCCAGCCTCGCGATTACTGGGCTCAAGGCATCGTTCTTGTGCTCGGAGTGTGTCGGAGTGGCATTGGTGTTGCGCGTAATCTGCAACTGATGCGGTTGCAATACTCTGCGAATAGAGTCGAGGAACAGGCTCGCATCTTCCGGCGTCCAAAAGTACAAATCCACAGTGTGTAGCCGGTACATGTATTTGCCCTGGTTCGAGGGATCTGGTGTAGGCAGATGCCACTGTGATGTGTCGTGGTGCGGGCTCGCGTTGCCACTGTGAGTCTGGAAGGCGTCGACCGTGAGGGTGAACAAGCACGGGTGCTTGTATGTTTGCTCGATCTTCACTGCATCCAGCTGACCGGCAAAGGCATCCTGAATAGGTGTGCCTGCATGGTTTGCTACTTCTATGCGCCCGCTCTGACGCATAGGATTATGGTAAAGGTAGACATAGGAGCCTTTGTCGAAGCGATGATGCGGGGGGTTCTGGGTTGGTGGGGAGATGTAGTAATGGACATCTGCGAAGCTATGCAAATGTCAGCACAGCTCCAAGACAAAAGAGGCTACTACTGCTCACAGTGTCAAGAGAGATACTTCGCCCTGCTGTGGAGGCATTGTGTTAGTCTGGGATGAAGGTGTGCCAGGCGTCCAAGATATCTGACAGCCCAAGATGCGGAGAAGCTGTAGCGGAGTAGTAAGGCGAACTGTTAGCACTCCTGGAGTATTATCAGGAGATCAAAGGCATATATAGGGTCGCAAGGCTGTCATATAAGCCGACGACAGCTCCAGCCAACAGCTGCGCGGTCTTCTATTTGTGTCGTCCTCGAAGCGCCCGCCCGTTAGTGTCGAGTTTAGTAGGCGCCGGTCCAAGCTCTGCCGAATGGCCAGCGGGCAGCAGCGATCCACTCGTGACTTGCGGACCTCCGAGCCAATCCAGAAATTTGCTGCGTCAAGCATCCACCGACGACACCACGCGCAATCGAACCTGGGGGCTGCATTGAGCCTCACCGTCGACATTTGCTACCAGATACACGGTCGCTCTGCATAATCACACCGGCCATCGCGCTCGCCCGCCGCCGCCCATCGAGGGCAAATCCCCACCAACACCGCCAATATGTCTCTTGTCAACCTCGCACACGTCTGCTCGCACATGCAGAATGCCTCCAAGGCCCGCCTCGGATTGACATCGATACCAGTCTCCAAGATGCACGTCAACATTGCGCTTGGCCTACAGCGTGAAGGCTTCCTCTCTTCAGTCACACTCGGCGGGCCAACACCACCCAAGCCCTTTCTCCTCCAGACACAGCAAGATCCCGAGCAACTAGAAATGATGGCACAGAAGCTGAAGGAGGAGCCATGGCTTGCATATCCTATTGATGCACCAGAGGGCACGAAAACAAAGGCACCGCTAGGACAAGAGCAGGTTCACGACATACATGTACCTCAGAACCCGGCACGGAGACGGTTATGGCTTGGCCTGAAGTACTGGCAGAACGAGCCCGTGTTGAAGAATATGAAGCTAGTATCCAAGCCTACACGGCGGATATGGCTGACCAGCGAGGACCTGGGCAAGATCACAAGGACACGCGAATCGAGCTATGTAAAGGGACTGACGCATCCTGGAGAGTGCATGTTCATTACGACAGACCGGGGGATATTAGAGGCAAGGGAATGTGTAGAGCGGCAGTTGGGTGGTATGGCGCTCTGCAGGGTGTGGTAGTGGAAGAATGCAGCATGCATGGCTATGGAACTGTAAGACATTATTGTACCAGTATCATGACGGAGTGGAATTGCATATACGGGAGCTCACATAAGAGTAACGCGCCACGCATCTGTAGAATATCAAACTCAGTCACAAGTGTTTTCTAACTCAATCTCCATTTGATTCTAAACCCTGAGCCTGTTGACGAACAAACTTGGTCGAACACATCAATGCACTAACAAGGCAGGCAGACTAGAGGGGCGCGAAAACCCAAGTGGATGCGAGTCAACGTCGCCAGTTGTGAACAGCGGACATCCCAGTTCAGAAATCTTCATGACATGGGCAGCGTATTCACTAGGTCGACATCACCACGATCAGGCAGCAACACATTGTTGTTGGTGGGGTCTGTTTGTTGACGTGTTATTGTCATGTTGCTTAGAGTGTTGATTTGTTCGCGACCATGGTTTTCATAAAGCAACTATCTACAAAGTAGTCCTAACCTCCGTGACCCAGGGATATATCCTCATACAAGTGTCGTGATCGTTTCGCTCTCATATCAATTACATACGCCAATACTTCCAAATGTTGGCGAAAAGGGGAATATGTGCAAGGAAATTCATAAACCTGAACAAGGCCGTTTGCCAGATGTTCTAAACCCAACTCCGATACCCGAAATACCCTCTCATCAAATGACATCTCTCATAGTTTCAGACATAGCTGCGTCGGCTTCGGCTATGGCTCTGGTGTGAGTAGCGAGGGCTGCGGGAGCGGTGGCCGTGACGGGATCGGTGGACTTCGCGCTTGACGACAACCCGGTCGTCACGGTGGTGACGGTGCACAAGTAGGGCTAATATGGCAGTGATGAAAAAGAAGATGATGTTCCTGTGCGAGGTTAGCGTCATGTTTGCTTCTGACTTTTTTGCAAAATTGAACTTACATGATTCCGAAAGCCCATGAGGCTTTGAGCATGGCGCATTGGCGGTCGATGTTGAATCCGTACGAGTTTCCAGAGACAGTGAACAAACCAAGGTCGGTGCTGTAGGAACCATTCCTCTGCCAGTTGGAGCAATCGGCATCAGCAATTCCTCGCAGAGCATAGACAGCTCCGATGAAGGCGCCCATGAAGAGAAGGTCGATGAAAGCAACGAATTTGGCGGAGTGCTTCGCGCGCGTGTAGAGGAAGAGGGTGCCTAAAGCCCATGCTGCGCCGAGGACTGATACAATGAACAGGACGAGGATTGACGTTGGTGTGAGGAGGCCGCGGCTGTTGTACCAGTCGACGAACCAGGCGAGCATGCCCAGACACGGAATCAGGGTGATGATCTGGAAGATGCGCCAAAAGATGAATGATAGTCCGGAGAACGACATGATGGCAGTTTGCAGGGACTCAAAGGCACTTCGAGGGAAGAGGTGTTTGCTTTGGTCGAGCTGTCAGCTGAGCCACGGTCGGTTGATGCCGTGTAACGAAGCAGATGCGATGCGACGAGAGAAATGCAGGACGACCACAACCCGCCGAAAGAATGCAGGGCAGCGCGCTTTTAAGACCTTGCAATGATAGGACAGACCAGGGTGCGTCTTGTTATGCGATCGGGTTGCAGAATGGTCGCAGTGTTGCGAGGTGACGTATTGAGCACGGAAACCGGGATGTATAACTTTAAAGTGGGATGCCTACTCGGGTGGTGGGTATGGTGAAGGCGGGGGAGGCTGGTAATCTGTGGCTGGATCGTGCCTTCCTCATTTCTAGCCAACCAAAACACCAAAAAACACAACGAACAGACCACAACCTCAAACACAACCTACACCACCGGCAGAACTTGTTTTCCACTATTAGAATGTGTTCGCGCCTTGCCATGCTTCGATGTCCGCGGCTCGATACTCGATGCGCGTTAGTGACATCGCGTGGAACAGCAACACACACGCCGCAGCTGAGCGTGGGTCTGGACAACTGTCGGCGCCCAACCCGCTTCCATCATCCTAGACGGCATGTGGGCGTCGAGATCATTCGCGGATGCTCGCAGAACCGCCGAGCAAGCGGCCGTTGAAGCCAGCACTCACCCGGCCCTGAAATTCGACCCGACCAAACGTCTTCGCGCTTATCACCCAGAGCCTTGGGCCCAAGCTCCCCCAACACAAGGGAGACCTTGCGTGAATCCGGACGTGATGGAGAAGCACCGTGGAGCTCCTAGATGTCAAATCTCACCTGCTCGCCTGTGCCGCTCTGCCTGCGTTCTCCGCCTGCGCCTAAGGATTGTTTTTCATTTCCTGCTGCATGGTGATGGGGTTGCTGACCGCCCAGAAGCACAAGAACCAGCCGGCCTAATCACAGTCTCATCCAAGCCATAACACTGGGGTCGCTATTGGTCTCCCCACCTGCGGATGCACCTCTTCTGCAAAAGGATTGCCATTGCACTGGGCTACTCGCTTCGCGGATTGACCTGCAGCAACTCGGTAGGATGAGTTTCTTATCAGGAGCCAGACCGCATTCGACACACTGCCCTGTGCTCCGCATCCTGAGCGCCGGGACAAGCGGACATGGGTTTTTCGAGAGTAGGTTCGATATATACGACCTGGAACCGCAAAGTTGTCTACCTTATTAACCCCTCATGTTCTTTTCCGCTCGTGGTAATTCACGTGTCACTTTGATCGCATACGCCTCAATGCCGTCGCACACTCTTTCATCCGCTTGTTTCTAATCAGTACAACCACGTTCTCGGCCCACGCCTCTCATTTCTTTGTCGTTCCTGGATTTATGCAGCAGAAATAGCAGCTACAGAAATAGGCGAGAAAGCGAGCAGCAAAATACTTCAGAGCCAATCATATTACTCTATATCTAATTCCCTCGAGGCTCCGTGTAGAAAGACATAGCACCTCGTTTGTCGCGACTAGAAAACCATTTCCTATGCCTGGACATTACATCTGACTACCCACGAATCCATAGTCGTGTTAACGACTCTGGGCAGAACATGTCGGCACGAGGCGCTCGTAGTCGGAAGGTACAACAAAAAGAAGTCGAGAAGAAGGAAAAGAAGAATGTTGTGAAAGGGAAGGCTCCAGAACCTATACGCGAAAATCATGATGCTTTTACGGAATGGCGTCCATCACCAAACTCCAGCAATCCAAGGAGCGGCATCTCACGTTCCCTGACAGTTTCCAGCAACAACAGTCATGCCACATCGCGGAGCAGTTCTACGCACGATGGTGGTAACAGCAGTCGACCACGACTCAATGCCCTTCCGTCCGACATCTCTTCTGGAAGTCGACCTCCGCCTACAAATTCTTCCAGGGCCGAATCCGTATCAGACAACTCCTCAAAAGGCAAAGACAAGACAAAGTATCAAGCAAAGGGTAAAGACACAAAAGCTCCTCGCGGCAGAGGTGGAGGAGTACCAATGAAGAAGAGCGTTGCGCCGACGTCTGTACCTCCTGTTTTCAGATCTGAATCGTCCGCATCATACGCCTTCCCAAGCGATCAAAAAACCTGGTTGAACTTCAAGGTTTGGTCAGACGGAAAAGACGGAATGCGTCCATATGCTGGGTTCGACTATGTGAGTTATCAGCATGCATGTTAAGGTTCGACACGTCTAATGCAGTGTTGTAGGACGAAGATATGCAGCACGGCAGTGTGCTCATCTACTTCAAAGAGGAGCAAGTAGACGAGGATCGACCACTCCCCTCGATCCGTGCAGACTTGGAAGTCCTTCAGAACTCAGGGTCCACTTGGCTGAGCAATGCATTGCTATATGGTCAGATAGACGACAACGACGTTGACGACTGGGCGCTTTCGGAGAGTGCAAGTTCGCCATCTCAATCTTTCTCTCCGAATTTCCCACAACCTGCACAACGACGAATGCTAGGGCCCACATCACCAGGTGGACGATCGCCGCCACCTTTCGACATTGATCAGTCACATAGCATAGATTCCCGGGCTACTTCTAGGGCTTTCCATCCATCTGAAGCCTCTCATGGACGTCACGCTAACTCGCCACCTCCTTTTCAGCAGAGTTTTCAACGCAATCCAACCCATGAAATATGGTTCACCGCGCCTGATAACATAAAGACACCACAGGCACAGAGACTACATCATGTTGCTATCCGCAATTTCCTGGCTATGTTGCATGGCAAACCCATAGTCGGAGCAGACGTGTATGATATGCTGAGTACGCTGCAACCTCAGATACACGTCATGTACGACCTTGACACGGACGCTCGCTCCGGGATGACTGCTAGGGAACGTAGCGTACAGACAATTACGGAATACCTCGGCCGATATGGGATTGACGACCTACGCAACAACATTCGACGAGCTCTTGGACTTTTGGCGTGGGCGGAACAGGATACCGTCAGGTGGCGACAAGGCTACCTCGAGAGCTTTGTCCACCTGGCTGGTGTTATGACACCGGAAATTGAGGACCATCCAGATTTCAAGCGTCTATCTGTCGTCACGAGACGGAATTTGGGGTTAGCTGCGAAGACACTTCAGTTGCGTGTGATGGAAGCAGAGGAGAAACTCTCCACCTTCGACTTCAGCGATCTCTGGGAAGATACTTTGAGAATTGCGAACAGTCCAGTCTATCAGAGCTACCAATCATTTCGCCAGTTCCTTGTTGGCCACTTCACACGCATATACGGTAACTGGCCACCAAGTTCTGATAAGACGTGGCTTAATCGTAAGCTCATAAATGCCATGCAAGAGGATTTTGGTTCTTTGTATGACTATTTTGTCGACCGGGACGTGATATGGAATCCTCGAGAAGAACGGGCGTCCCGTAAGTGGGAGATGGCTCATCGAAAGAACGACAACTTCAGTGCAGACTTGCAAGAGCTTGGTATGACAGATATGCTGGTTACCTACGATGCAAAGAACGGGTATGCACACATTCCGCATCCATACCCCTTACTTCCCAGAGAAGTACCAAAGACGAGCAAGGACAAGGAGAAGAAGAGTTTCTTTTCCTCGTTGAAGAAGGACAAGCCCAAGGATGCTACAAAGGACGCGAAGGCACAACTGCAACTCTCTATTATCTTTAGTGACGCGACAAATATCGAGAAGCTGGACGTCAACTTCAACGGTAACTAACACCTTATATACCCCAGTCGACATGTGTTGACGTTTTCTAGGATCTACGCTCATTGATAAGTTTGAGCAGTTCGAGCTCACCACCGATTTGAAACACATGACGCCGCGCGAAGCACGTCTCGGACGGTGGGTGCTTTTGTACGGCGTGCTACAGGTCTTGTCAACTCTGTCTGTCGATATCCAAGGCCTGAAGCACACCGACGGTGTACGATACTTCCTAAACACCGATCTCAAACGCATGCCTGAATGGGTAAGCAACGGTCAGATAGAGCATCTAGAGGCCAGGCAGCAGCGATCCTGGTGTTGGCAGCGCGCATGGGACCCAATGCCAGCGCAATCCGCGCCTGTGGAGCTTGATGCGACACCAAACAGCGAACGTACGAGCCACCATGAAGATGTGCGACACGCTGAGATAGCAGGTCATAACTTTCCCAGTCCACCACCGCAACATGCACTCCCTCCGCCACCACAACACGGACTTCCTCCACCACCAAGTCTCGACGGCGCAACACTAATGCAGAACGACATCCGCCGCATAGGGGAGAAGATCAATAACCTCTCTCTTCCCCACAACGCTAGTAATCACTTCCGCCAAGAATTCGAACGGCGCCGCGAAAACGAGAAAGTAATCCAAGACGAGTTTCACGACCGCAAACCACGCCTACAAGGCGAGACGTTCGGGCCTCGAGCAGCCCGCGACAGGAACACTGACAGTACATTCAATCCGCGAATGGACTCTCTCCCGCGGTCCCGCGACTGCGACGCGCCTCCCAGAAGCCAATCACGCATGGACGACACCTTCCGCCTCACAGAGTCCGATTTCTCGCAACACGCCCACACGAACGATTTCATCGACCGTCAACAAGCCTCGCTCTTGCCACCTCCCTCTCACTCAGGAGGTTTCCACAGTCATACGAACAGCCTGAACACGGATCTGGGTGCTTATCCATTCAGTGCGAATGCGAACGAGGTGCAATGGCCGGTCCCACCGGGGTACAGCGAGAGCAATCATTCGTGGAGGGAAGGAAGAGAGAGTACGGTGTTGGGAGAGGGATATGGAATGATGGACTTTGAGGGGAGGGATGGTGCAGGAGAGGCGAGGAATGGAGGGATACAGGGTACAGGTGTGAGGAGGACTCCTAGACGGGTGCATGAGAGGAGTGGATGGGATTAGCAGAGCTCAACATTAGAGAACAGCCAGGGTAATAAGCTATGAGTAGGGCTGTGGGAGCTGGCATGGACTTGGGCTTTTCTTGTTGGATATATACCCTTTTGCTTTCGTTTGTGTTCTTTCATGGGTCAGTCGAAACAAGCCGTCTGTAGGGTCGCAGTTTCGGGTATTAGGATTTGCGGAAAAGGTCAACAATGGTGCATTAAAGGCTTTCTACATCTTTAATCCGGGGTATCTTTTGTCTATCACCAGTATCTATATCAGCTGTTGCCAAGTGAAAAGAAAGCCCTTCTCTTCTCTCTCGCTTGTTGCTCTGAAACCGTGCCTTCGTTCTTCGGTCTTCCGCGCTTTCCCTTCTTGGTCGTTGTCTTGGGGACGCTAGACTGCTTTTCCAAAGCTGGCGGCGGGGGCGCTGTAGACTTGACAACCTCTCTAATGGTCTGTTTCGAAAGGCAAAAGTCGATATGCGCGTTGAAACTCGCATCATCTGGTGGTTGCGGGTTGGAGCAAACGGGACACTGCCATTGCGGTTCGGGCGTCGGTTGTTCGTCTTGCTCTTGCTCTCGCTCTTGTTCCTGAGACAGCTTTTCTAATTCGTTCATCTCGTCATTACGTTCTTGTCGTGCGGCTTCTTCAAATTCCTCCTCGGGCCAGGTCTCCCATGCCCCTTCATCCTTCTCCTTTGAAGTTGAAGCCCTCGTAGTGGTCGACGATGTCTTGGCTGCACGGCCGAAGAAGTCGATTCCAGGCTTCTTCGTGCTGATGATGTGCGTGACTCTTAGACCCATTAGGCGTAGTTTCATGTTCGGTATCTCCTTCATCAGCTTCTCCAGCATCGGTAGACTGTACTTGAATAGGTCATCCGCTTTGTGAATAGCGAAAGGTGGCGTCGTCTGTCGGGTGTGCACTTCATAGGTATGGAGTTTGATCTTAATACAGAGCGTCCTCCCTTTGTACTCGGTGCGCTTCAGATCTCCTTCGAGTTCTTCGGCGACGTGACGAAGCTTGTCGCGCAGAGCATCGCGGGATTGCAGCTCTCTGAAGGTAGTTTCCGTTCCAACACTCTTACGCTCACGGTCTTCTGCTGGTTTGATGACGGTTCGTCCCAGACCTAGGTAGCACTGCATCAAGAATTGGAATGCTTTCTGACCGAATAGCTTCGCCATATATGCTCGATGTGCGTAGATGTCTCCGCAGGTCTTGACGCCTATAGCATCCAACTCTCGTTCGAAGACGCGACCGATGCCATTGACCTTGCGTGTAGGCAGGGTCTTCATGAACTCCATAATCGTCTGCCTGTCGGCAGGGAGCAGAAATTGTCCATTTGGCTTGTTCTGGTTCGAACAGATCTTGGCGAGTTTGGCATTCGCCGCGATACCAGCAGAGACGGTGATCTTGGCTCTTTCATAGACATCTGCGCGCATCTGGCTGACTGCTTCTTCGGGAGTCATATGGTGTTCTTGGCAGTATTCTGTCAGGTTGAGGTACGCCTCGTCGCAGCTGGCACTCTGGAAGCCCGGATCATAAAGTGCAAGTACTTCTCGAACTTCTTCTGCCTTGGCCATGTATTTTGCGAAGTTCATAGGAACACAAATTAGCTGCGGACAGAGTTTCATAGCAACAAATCCAGCCATGCCTGAGCGGCAGCCAAACTTCCTGGCGTGATAATTGCAAGTTGTCAGCACACCCTTCCCGACCGCGAACGGAACATGTTTCAGCTCCGGGCGGTCAAGCTCCTCTACTGCCGCATAGAAAGCATCACAGTCGAGGTGTACAATGACCTGACTCAGGTCCCTGCTCAGCTCTAGTTCAGCGATATAATCGTCAGCTCTGCGTTGGTCGGAGGTCAAGTCGATCTTCTCCAGCTGTCGTCTCTTGCCCAGGATCTTGTTGATCTTCTCTGTGAGATTCTTGTCCTTGGCTTCCTCGTTGTTGAAGAACTTGGAGCCCTTGGACGCATTATAGATAACCTCGGAGACCTTCGTTTGGTCGACAGTATCTTGTCCGGCTTTGGTGAGCGAGGGGCCGAGCAGGTGGTACTTTAGGGAATCGTGCTCGTTTGAGGCGGTTCGTGCAGGCTGTGGACGCTCCGCGATGTCTCGAGAGGACTCGTGCATGACAGCCTCGGCTTCCTCAGCCTCGGCGGTGGTCATGGTGGTTGAGGTAGCCGCTGGAAGCAAGTCGGACGCGTCAAGAGCTGGGTCACTAGGGTCATACTGGGACAAGGGCGAAGTGCGAGACTGCTCGCATGATACGAGTGAATGGGCAGACCCTGCAGCATCGCTCATGGTAAGTGGGGAGTCATTTTCGGGAGAGGACGAGATGATGGCCCACTAAAACGCGAGATGAGGCGCGGAAGACTCATGACGCGCTTTCACGCTTACGCCGTACTGGGACTAGCGTCCCTGAAACCGTGCTCTCTCCATGATATTCAGGGCCAGCAGATTCATCTCACACCAACACAGACACTCGCTCCGCACAGTCCGAAACCCCTCTCCTGTTCCCGTCCATCCCTTTGACAATGGACTGGACACCAACCGTCTACAACCCTCCACCGCTGGCATTGTAGAAGTGGGGCAATACACGTAGAGCTCGCTGCTGTTTCGACCCTGCAGACACCCGACACGCTACTAGCGGCCGTCAACATACCACCATCAACACCGCCATTACCCCCCGAGCAACTACCCATTGCCTCCCTGGAAGGCCATGATCTCCCTCCGCATACGCAGCATAACACCCAAACTATAGCTGCACCACTCACTAGAGGATGCCCATCGAACGAACCGACCGAAATAACCCACGGCCATTGAAGCCAACGCTCGCTAGTAACCGAACTGCTGCGAAGACGCCCTTGACCCCTCGACTTGCTGTTGCGCCCACCGCTTCCTCCACCGTTAGCTCGTCGAGTACCCGCACAACACGCACCAGCAATGGAGCCACTCCTGCCAAGTCGGTTGCTTCGTCGCATAACGACGTAACGCCTGTCAAGGCGTTCCTGAGCAGCAATGTGACTCCTCGCTCCTCTTCAAGGAAGTCCCGGGTGGGTGTAGACAGCGCTTCATCGACGCCCAGCGCCACTCCCTCTGCTACACCGAGCAGCTCGCGACCAGGTTCCACTGTAGACTTTCATAGTGGACACAGTGCCGTTGGGAAGAGCGGCTCTTTAGTGGGAGTACGACCGCGCAGTACACCAGGACCGAGCAGCAGCCATGTCACGCCAACCCCGAGGCCATCCCTCGCCATATACAATCACGCCCCGTCCGAGACAGGCTCCAAGAAAGACGCTTCACCCCTGTTCTTCCATGCCAATGACGCTCGCCCGCATGAGCAACCAGCACCGGCACCGGCACCGGCACCGGTACTGGCACCCCTAAAGAAAACGCCTACCTTCTTCTACGCCGACGGCAGACAAGACGATACCCCTTCAAAACACAACGTACCATCGCCTCCACTGTCATCCTTGGGGAGGACCCAGCCGGAGAGCAAGTTCTTCCACGCAGATTCGCTTTCCGAGACAAAGAACCGCCAACCAATCCTCACCCCACCGTCTATTCCGATGGCGCCAGATCTGCTCCCGCCTCCTGAAAACCTACTGTCGCTACGCCCGCCATCGCCTACGAAAGACTTCGCGCATCTGTCATATCGCAAAGGAGCCTCTCAGGTCCGACCAGCTCTTAGTAGAGGCAGTTCTGGAAACTCGGCTTTGGCCATCTTGGCTGGACCAAACACGCCGGATGTGTCTGATCGTACCAGACGGAGATCTAGCGTTGCTTCTACTATAAAGCGAGGGCATGTCAAAAGCTCCAGTCTGTCATCCATTGACTCTGTGACTAGCTTGAAGAAGGCACCGACTAATGAACCATCTGCCATGGCACCAAGCCCGCTGCATACTGAAAACCGCGCTTCTGGCGATGCAGCAGCTACCCCCTCTCCGCGCTTGACTGCCTTCTCCCCTATTGGGTCTCCGGTATCAGGAAGTCCATCGAGAAACAGCGAAGGCAAGAGTGCACTCGAGATGATGAACGAGCTTGCTGCCAACGCACGAAGGGAGCGTAAAGTGCTTGACCTCGAAATCAGCAACTCTTCGCTTCTTGCTATCAACCGGTCACTGGAAAAGGAGGTCCGAAAGCAAAAGGCCGAGCTAAGACGCTTCCGTCGCATGAGCCGAGCTGGAGTTTTCTCTGCTGATACGGATGGCTCGGCTCCTGAAACCTCTGCCATTGGCGTTGGCAACATAGGAGACCTGTCTGACATGTCCGAGGCGGAAGAAGAAGAAACACCTGAAGAGGAAGAGGAAGACGACCCGGAAAGCAGCGACTCTTCTTTCGACGACAGCGCTCTGAGTCCAAGCGCTCAGCTGGAGCGGGACGAAACACACCGTTCACGAGACGAGAAGCGTCTCCAGCTAGATCTGTCAAAACATCGCGAAATGCTGAACGACAGTCAGAAGATGAACCAGAGTCTTAAGAAATGTCTTGGATGGACAGAGCAACTGATCAAAGATGGTCAGAAGGCCTTGGAGTACAAGGTACACGTCAGCGATGTCAAAGTAGGTGGCCGCGTACTCGTTCCGGAAGACGACGACAACGACGTCAACGAAAAGCGGGAATCTAGGGGGCTTCTTAGCCCTTGGAGTCCAATACACAACGCCATAGACGCTCTGGACTCGCCATTCTTCCCACAACAAAGCCGGATCATCGATCGAGACAGCGGCATAGACCTCGAAGGACTCGAACATATGGAAGGAGACAGCGACCACTCTCGGGCAGCATCTCCGACGGATGATGGCCCCACTAAAAGCACTGTGAAGGAGTTTCGTCCAAAACTACCAGGTCAATGGATTTCGTACGCAACGACACGCGAGTCAGACCTGAAGAAGCACGAGACCCTCAGCCCGCTCGGTTCGCCATTCGAAGAGCGGATCAGATATCTCCATGCGTCCATCGACGCCCTGGAAGCATCATAACCACAACCCTACAATTTCTCTTCGTCCAGTTTGCACATACCCAACTTACATATCCAACTTACATATCCAACTTACATATCCAACTTACATACCCAACTTTTGTTTGCAGCATGGGAATTGGCGTTTTTTATAAAGGATGACTTTGTCGGTCTGCCTTTTCACCTTCTGGCGCACAACGGCACTATACGTCGAATGCGATTTCGACGTCCCAACGACGATTTCTTTTGTTTTGCTCTTTTACGGCCGCAATTTACACTCTCGTTCACTCGATAATGTCTGAATCTACGGCCTTGAACAGTCTTGGACAAGATTGGGTCGCGTATCGGGCTTGTGTGTGTGTGTGTGTGTGTGTGTGTGTGCAGTCAGTCAGTTTTATGATACCCCCACCATCTTGGTCGTTTATATACGAACACATACATAGCCAATACATACATTACTTTACCACTTGATAGTCATTGAGATCCTACAATGTTTCGCCGATAACCTTTCGGGCGACTTGCTGGACAAGCTGACGTGCACGAGACCAAGCGTAAAATGTAAGACAAGGTCGAGTGAGGTATTGAAATAATGGATATTTTGATTCCGTCTGAACATATTCGTCTATTGCAATGTCTATCATATATTTGTCTATTCAAATAGAAAAGCGACAACAGAAGCGACCTCGATCTACGGGTATCCGAAAAAGCAAACGCAAGCAAGTCATAAATAAAGAAACGATGAACCTCTAGAAGTGAAACATGGTCTAAGCCCAGTAACCTAGCAGCGCCATCAGACCAGCACCAAGGACCATTAGACCGAAGGCCTTGAGTGTCCTGCTAACAGGTCCCTTTTGCATGTAAGGGCTGAACATGAACTCGTGGGCCATGAGCTCAACAAGACCAGTGTAGATGAGGATACCAGCACTGATGGAGTCGAAGACACCGTTGGTGAGCAATGTAGTGCGTGACTCGGGGGCAAATGACTGTCGGACACCTAGACCGATAGCAATAGCGATAGGGGTGGAAAGACCGTACGCCAGACCGAGGAGGTATGGGGTCCAACGCTTGGATGCTGGCCAGGGAACTTCAGCAAGACGTGTTCCAAGACCAAGGCCCTCGAACATCTGATGGAATACCAGGACAATATAGAGTGTGATGAATTCTTCGCCAGACACGGCAAGTGTGAGGCCGATGAAAATGGAGTGGAAGATGACACCGAATTCGAGGATGAAGACGGCAGTCAGCTGGGAGGCGTAGCCTTCAGGCACAAGGGCACGAGGGGTCATGTCGGACTTGATCTCAGCTTCGTGGTCGACGTGGTCGCGCTGATGGCCGAGATGGTCTTCACCGCGCAAGTTGGGATTGCCAGCGTTTCCCTCAAGGTCGCCTGCCTTTTTCTCCTTCAGGTTGTTCTCGTAGCTGCTGAAGTCGTCGGCGTGCGCCACTGGTGGGGTCCCTGCAGGTGCGTGGCTGTGGTCATGGTCATGATCACTGCCAAACTTGGCATAACGCATAGTCATGAGCTCAAGGAAGAACATGAGGAAGAGAGTCATAAGGGCAATGCCTTCGGGCCAGGGGTATGCGGCGATGACACCAGTCAAACACTCATTACCCAGTGCTTCGTTCGCGGGAGCGAGAAGATGAATGAATGCGGTGGTGATGATCACACCCGAACCGAAGTACTTTGCAGCGAAGAAGACCCAGTTGGGTACTAACTTGTGGCGTGTACGTCTTGCCAGAACAGGGAACATTGCACCTGTATGGTATTAGTGCGCGAAGATCAAGATAGCTTTGTTGCACGTACCGAAGCTAGATGCCACCATAATGACAAAAATGGACGAGATGCGGGTACCCATGCGGCCATCGTACTCGTTGTCGCTGCCGCAAGTGATAACCTCATCGGGCTGTGTCTCTGCACCTTGATCTTGACGGAGCACAAGGCGCGCAATCTGGAGGGCGGTGGAAGCCATGTTGGTATAGTAAGAGCTTGCCGTAGATGGGGAAAGGGTGAAGATGCAGAGTATTCGCTAAAAAGTATTTTTGATCAAAAAGAACTTTGATATGGTTGATCTCTGGTTGGTGTGGACCCTAATGTCTGGTAATGGTCCAGTAGAGAAGCAGAACCCGGTAAGCTTTCTTGGGTATGCAGAGAAGCTTGGTTCCGGCTCAGCGGTTCGTGTCTTGTGCAGTCTTGGGTAACAACAAGCACTATATAATGGATCTTTTAGGACAATTAAGCACCCTGATGGATAGAAGAGAATGCTTGACGGGTCTCGTAGAAATCGACGGGGCACGGCGTTGGCAGGAAGATGTGAAGACGGGCCATATGCCAAAAGAGCTTTACTTGGAGTACCGTGATGGTGCGCTAAGATAGAATATCTCACTGGTGCATCGAATAGCAGGGCCTATGGCGTCGAGTGTGGCTGTCATTCGTGGGGGACATGTTTGAAGTGCAATTAGAATGCGAAAAGAACGTGGGATTATTGTCAACCATGGTGTTGGGATGCGGCATGTGCGACGATGAAGTTGTTAGTATGCGGCGAACGAGCGTTCTGCAACTGCCACCTTAGTCAGCCGCAATGCTAGTCGCGATTTGACTTACTGGAGCGAAAACTTCAACAATCCCACATCGGAGGGACATTTACGTCCATTTCAAACTTCTGCATCCGCATTGGGTACCTCCACCGAGACAAGTATGGGCCGGCACCGCAAAGATACGAATAGAAGTCGACCTGACCCCATTTCAGAGGGAAGAAATATTTGACAGTATTCGCGCTCCTTTGTACGATGCGATACCCACCAGGCGCTTCCCGACGAACCGACGAAGTAAACTGAACGCGTTCCTAAAGGAGAGCGACAAAGCAACGTCGCAAGTATACCCGCACCCGAAGTACAACCCAAACTCCTACGAAGTCAATATGCAACGATGCATGCCTATGGATGCAGGGGTGAAAGTAAGAAGATGAGCTACGGCATACTTTGGTCAGAAAGTAGTGAGCTCCTTTTGTTGAGATGGTGAGGCTGTCTCGATACTTGGCGAATTGCCTGGTTAAGTAAGATGCTGGATCCGCGCATGTCGCAATGCTCGTTGTAACTGCATTTAGGTTCTGTCGGAAGCAGCTGATGTGGTGATGGACGCAGTCTCCGCATTCTCCTCACGCGCTGCCGCGTGATCCGGCGATATACACCAGGCATCGTCGACAAAGACAGAAATGTAGATGCACGTCTGCAGACAGTAAAGAGGCCAGGATGTTCGCTATAATACTAAAACGTATATACGTCGGCCCGCTTCGACTCTCCAGGAGCTCTGAATGGTTGGTTCACATGACACCATGGTGAGGGGCTGTGGACTGGTGTGAGATGTATCAGGCCCGCCAATGCGCGACGGGGCGGGGTCGCGTCGCATATACAATTGGATTCGATGGCCATGGCGATGTCAGCAACTCGATACACTCCAGGCGATCGAGACATGCAATACGGAAATGAGTATCGGCGCACGGAGGATGGGGATCGAAAAGTTAATACAATCGGTGGTACTGAAACCTGTTTGTGAGGCTAGAGGCGAGCAACCGAGGGCGTGCACTCACACTGCTTTGTTGCTGTGGGGAACATCCTGGACGACTTGGCGCGATGGAGCATCGATGATGTACCAAGGTACTCTTTTGCATAGCAGACAGCCCCACTCGACAATGTCACTCCAATGCTGCGACCACAGATGCGATGGAAAGCATTGACGGCGGAGGTGACAGCTCCAGTACATCAACCAGTGTATTCGCGCAGAGAGTCCAGGCCTTTGTTTTGAAGCTGTTAGGCGCGAGTCGATGTTCGTGCATCCTTGCTTCTTACGCAGAGCGTGGCGGGAGCCAATCAATAGCGCATGCCGTGAGGGGCTATGACGTCTCGATTCCTGTTTCGTATAGCTCCTGCCGCAACTCCAACAGGTGACCGCATAGATGCCTAGCTTCTCCTCCTTATAACTCCGCCTTGTCTCACTCTATTCCTCTATCTCACTGTCAACTCTCCCCTCGATCACTCGTCAGCACATACAGCTGCTGTCAAGGTTCCGGAGTTTCATCACAACATCAAAACCGCCATCATGATTGAGGAAGTCTTGAAGAAGACGTCGGAGCTGTTCCCGCTGCCAACAGCAACAGCTTCATCTCTGCCTTCGGTTGCCCCCGTTCCCACTGTCATTCCCGGCAGCGAGCCCGTCTACGAGGTTGCCGGCGATGCTGGACAGAAGACCCTCTGGGTCGTCTTTGCTCTCATGCTGATCGCCTCTGCTGGATTCACTGTTATGTCGTGGAAGGTCCCATTGGTAAGTACCCCATACTGAGTGAGTCGGGATAGTTTGTCTAACACATCCTAGAACAAGCGCCTCTACCATGTCATCACCACCATCATCACTCTCACCGCGGCCCTCTCCTACTTCGCCATGGCCACTGGACACGGTGTTTCCCTGAACAAGATCGTCGAGCGCGAGCAGCATGACCACGTTCCCGACACCTACACCACCACCTACCGCCAGGTCTACTGGGCCCGTTACGTCGACTGGAGCATCACCACGCCTCTCCTGCTCCTCGATCTTGGTCTCCTTGCTGGCATGTCCGGTGGACACATGTTCATGATGATCGTTGCCGACTTGATCATGGTCTTGACTGGTCTCTTCGCTGCTTTCGGCACTGAGGACACTCCTCAGAAGTGGGGATGGTACACCATTGCTTGCATTGCCTTCATCTTCATCTTCTGGCACCTTGGCCTTAACGGTGGTGCCAACGCCCGCGCCAAGGGTGACAAGCTCCGCACTTTCTTCGTTTCCATCGCTGCCTACACTGCCATCCTCTGGACTGCCTACCCCATGTAAGTTTGCCAATCAGTATACTCGTTCTTTTCGTGTTACTAATGCCTTCCTAGTGTCTGGGGTGTTGCCGACGGTGCGCGCAAGGCTAGCGTCGATGCTGAGATCATCTCCTACGCTATTCTCGATGTCCTCGCCAAGGCTGTCTTCGGTGCCTGGCTCCTTGTTGCCCACGCTAACATGCGCGAGAGCGATGTTGAGCTCAACGGCTTCTGGGCCAACGGCCTCAGCCGCGAGGGTGCTATCCGTATTGGTGAGGACGATGGTGCTTAAATGCACTTCGTCAACACGACTACTGTATCACTTCTAGTATAGAATGCTTCGACAAATGTGGTTCGCCTTTACTATAGAAGGACCGGAACCGGTGACAGCAAGGAAAAAGCTTACGCGGCATTCTGTTTTTTTACTGTCCTGTTAGGCAGTATCTCTTCTCAATGATCTAGCTTTTCATGGATGGAGTTGGAGGCTTGTCAATAGTTACGGGATTGGACGCCTATGATATGGACGTTTCATAGTTAATGCGATAATGATATTGATCTCGTACTCTTCTCACGGACCGCGTACCGGCTTACCGCCGAGCCACTCAATCTAATGTGCCACCACGTGGAAATAGTGATCCGTGTCTCCCGCATTAGTCGTCAGTCTCCCTCACCCGAGTACCTCTATATAGTTCACTGGTCTTGGCTTCAGTGCTGTAGTCAAGTTTGATTGCCCATTGATGCGGCACTCAGTATCTACCATGTTCTCGTCACTACTTACGGTTGTGCTCGCGGCGCTTCTTGTGCAACCGTACGACATCCTTAACTGTGCCGTTGTCTACATTCTAACACACTGCCAGCGCATTCTCGACCAGCCCTAGCTCGCCATCTCCCACCCCCACACCATCTGCAGACTGCGTAGTTAACGTTTTCAAATCGCCTCCGCGCCAGACCAACTGTACCTTCTACGAAACCACGACTACTTCGACGGCATATACAGACTGTGGCGGGTGCACGCTTAAAACGAAGGTCTTGGGCGTAGGGCTTGTGAGTGTTTCTCTCAGAATATAGATGGGAGAGTGAAACGAGAAAGCTAACTATGGTGACTATGGTAGGGTTGTCGGGTCGCTACTACAGTTCAAGGTACTGCGACTGAGACCGTTACCGCCTGCGAGACGATTTGAAGATACCACGGGTGGGATGAAAACAAATTAGAGCTGGGCGATAGGTAGCTTGGTTAGCGTAGTATTCAATGCAATGAATACGAACAAGCTCGTTCTCTACGAGTTGTACTCCAGCTGTACCACACCGCGGAAGGTATACATGGTAATGTACGCTAAGAGTCTATCCAGAAAAATGCGAAGTCTACATGAGAATGTTACTAGTACGGTGGTGACTGCTAGTTCAGGTACTTGGGCATTCTTCCAGAAGATCGACTACAGATGCCCAAGCCGCCTCACATCGCAACCTTCGGCGCCGTGTCAAGGAAGTGTCGCCAGGAATTGAACATGCGGCATGTGCTCATCGTCTCGCGCATGGACTCGATACTGGTCAGGTACCATTCCGGCTGACGCAAAATCAAGGCAGCATGACAGCGACCAAGAATCGCACGATCATGTCTTGCCGCCTTGGGGGGGTGCGTCTTTTTGCTCATGCGACGTAGGGTGACGCGGTGACGGCACGCGCCTGACCCTGGCCATATCGCTGCAGGGATGCAGTAGGCGGCTGCCCCGCAACCAAGCCGCGGTGCAACAAAGCAACCTTGGAAGGCACCTCTCCCCTCTCGTCTCACATTGAGATTCCCCTTAAGTACCCGTAGCAGCCCCTTTGATCACCTGCCACCAACATCACTTACCTACTTACTTACTTACTTACTACTCAATCTCTCTTGAAGCGACTAACCACAATTGCCAATATGACATCCGAGAACGCTGACATTGTCGACGAGACGCCCATCTCTCCCGTTCGCTCCCTAGACAGGCGCAACAGTCTGGAGAAGCACCTGCAGCATCGCCCGGAACCCCAGGATCTGAAGAACAGGCATATTCTGCTAGACACTACAACCGCTCCGTATGTTTCTGAAGCTCTTGAGAAGCTCCATTGGGGAGGGGAGCTCCTTCCTTTACAGCAGCCTCACTAACGACGAATCCACGGTAGTGCTCTTCAAGCCAAGGCCCTCGAACTAGAGCGTCAACGTGCAACCGATAACCTCAAGAAGGGCCTCAACTCGCGCCCCGAACGCGCCGAATTGATTGACCGCAACATTCTCCCCGCCTCCAACGCTGCGCCTGCTCTGCAGGGACACCAGAAGGAACTCGACATGCACATGAGGGCGGATAGTCTGGAGAAGGGGCTGCAGAGCAGGCCAAGCCCGGAAGAGCTTGTAAAGAAGGGCATTTTGGACGCTGAGGAAGCTCCTGTCAAGGACGCTTGAGCTTTGCACGCGGCCAAAGCCACGTTGCTGACTTTGTTCATTCATGCATATGGCGTTGGCGGGGGGTTTTTTTTGTCACATATCAAGGTTGAATTGAGCTTCATCCAGACTGTACGGTTATCGCGGAAATGAGTACACAACACATCATGAATCAAATTTCCTGCTCGCTGCTTTGGCGACTACTCTCTCATATGTCACATATCCTCCGCATCACCATGTGCGGACATGAAAAAGGGTCTGTGCAAAGAGTGGCACGAAGCCTGTGACTTCATTAAAATATCATGCTAATGCTAAGTAGCGACAGCCTAACCTCAACCAGTAACAACTGGCAAACAACAATTCTCGCACATGGTCGTCTAGTGACCAACCTTCTCCTCACGGACAACAGTGGTGTTCTTGCCGTCCATGTCAAGATCGGTGCCATGGGCATGGTTCTCGCGGTCAGCCTCGAGGTTCTTGACAAGCTCGGTGATACCGAAAAGGTCGTCCATCTTCTCGAGCGACAATCCCTTGGTCTCGGGAATGAGGAACCAGACAAAGATGAACATGGCAAAGCAGAAGGAGCCGTAGGTGAAGAAAGTTCCGTAACCGCCCTTGCCCATAGTAGCCATCATGTTGGGGGTAGCGCGAGCGACGACGAAGTTGAAGAGCCACTAGTATAAAGTCAGTCTTATGTCTCACATGTATTTCCGTACAGTGTGAACTTACCTGGGTAGCAGCGGCAATGGCTACGTTCAAGGAGCGGAGACGTGCTGCGGGAATTTCAGACACGTAGATCCAGCACACTGGTCCCCAACCGAACTGGAAGAAGAGGGCGAAGAGGAAGACGCAGACCAGGGCAAAGTATCCGGCAGGGGGTACGGGCTGGTTGGGGATGGGTGGGTCGACGCGCATGTAGATACCGATGTAGAACATGGCCAGTCCCTGCGCGATCGAGGTCCAGAGGAGCGAACGACGACGACCAAGGGAATCGGCAGCAAAGATCAAGAAGGCGAAACATCCAACCATCTTGACGATACCGTAGATACCGGTAGCGAATAGCTTGACCGAGTTACCCTTGAGACCAAGAGCAGCGAAAATTTGTGGCGCGTAGTAGTTGATGGCGTTGGTTCCGGTCATTTGTTGGCAGATCATGAGTCCAATGGAGATCAGAGCACGCTTTCGGTTACCGGGGATGGTGAACATCTCCTTGAGAAGATCCTTGACGCTGGCACCGGCAACGAGCATACGCTCGTGCTCAAGCTGATCGGCGATATCCTTGATCTCGTCCTGGACATAGGTGTGAGACGAGGGCAAGTTTCGCATGCGGGCAAGGACTGCGGTGGCCTCCTCCCACTTGTCTTGCTTGGCGAGGAAGCGGGGCGACTCCTTGTTCAGGGCCATGCAGCCGACAAGGAGAACGGCGGGAAGAGCTTGGAGAGCGAGAGGAACAATGTAAACTTGAGCGCCACCGGAGAGATGCATGAGGGATCCGTAGTTGACCCAGAAGGCGAGACAGGTTCCAGTGGCAATGAAGAGTTGGTAAAGACCGGTGAGACCACCACGGATACCACGGGGAGCGTTCTCAGAAATGTAAAGAGGGACAACCATGGAGGCGCCTCCGACACCAAGACCAGCAATGAAGCGACCGACATACATGGCCTCGAGAGAACCCATGGCAACGGCTTGGATAATGCAACCGACAATGGTCACGAGACCGGCGACTTGAAGTGCCATCTTACGACCCCAGCGATCGGCAAACCACGAGGCGACGAAGCAACCAGCGAAACATCCAGCTTGCAGGGTCGAGGCGATGTTGGCGTTCAAGTTGGCCTTGCCGACCTTGTCAAGGTTGGTAATTTTGTACTTGCTAGATTTCATGTCAGTGTCGTGAAAACGAATCAAGTGCAGAGAGGAAGCACATACTCTTGGAACTCCTTCAGTTCGAGCACACCACCAATGGTTCCGATATCGAAACCGAACAACATGCCACCGAAGCAGGCTGAGCCAGCCATGGCGAAGGCACGCCATCCGTAAATCTCATGAGGATCGGTCTTGATGGAGTCGTTCTTGACGATCATGCGAATGAACTTCGCACCGGCGGATGGAGACGACATGACGGCGGATAGTTGATAACGTTCTACTGTATCGGGTGGCTATTATAGATCTATCTTATCGTTAGCATGCATGTATGACGCATGGAAGAGCTGTTGTGAAACACAAGGACCGAATACATACCTTGTCGGTGGGCGACTGCTAAACCTCAAACTGACCCTGGACCAGACGCTGGTGTACGACACCAGATGGAGCTCGAAGGGAATGAGTGAGAAGAGAGATGTCTCCGCAGGTTGATGTTCAAAACCCCAGTGGGATGTGCATGGCTCATCTATATAAACAGGACAGTACTGCGGCCCATGCGCTATCCCGCTATCTTCGCAGCACTAGCTCCTTGCTCAAGACGGGGTAACTGCCTGGTCCAACGCCGCGGTCTTTGCCATCCTGCCTCGAGCTATCATGATCTCCCAGACTAGACCCCAGACTCCACGTTCCGAATCCTCCACAGACAGCTCTCACAGCTGCCGCTAGAGCCAACCGACTTCCCCCAGACCGGGTAGCTAGATCGTCAGATGAACGAATTCTAGTGACTCCAGCCAATAGAGTTGGTGCAAGACCAGCGCCGCACCTTCTCAAAGAGAGCATGGTGTTGACATTGTCTTGGCCCGGCGGAAACCTCGTGGTGGGATTTGTGGAGTCAGTGAAAGACCGTCTTGGAACCGCCAAGTCCGCGCCTTTTTCCGTCCAGTTGCGAGGAAGCGTGGCGTTGCAACTTCAATGATACAAGGCTTGCCAAGAAATAGGTCCCCAGGCCGGTAGGCCAGTCTGGGGTGTCCCCACTCTCGAGTGCTGGGGAGAATCGAGCAACGGCCAGCCTTTCCGTGTTTGGTTTGGTAGTATATCTGACCCCCGCTGATGACAGGCGCTACGGTTGTTGTGGCCATTTATCCGCGTATTAGACCTGCGAGAGAGTCGGGGTCATGGATGCCCCACGGTCGTGCCGACGCGTGATGGGTCGATTGCAAAGGATTGTGGATGCTGTGGAGAGGAGACGGGTTCATGTAGGCAAAATAGACGTCCACGAGTTGTCAATTATGGTCGTGGGGTGATGGGTACTTTGTAGGTTTTCAGGCAAAAGAGAGGGTTCGGTGTTTGGTGTCGCGAACCTCGGTCGAAGTCGCGACACCAGATACCTGCAGTCACCACTTAAGACTCGAAAGTCCCACGAACGAAGAGCCTCAAGATTGTCAAAGAGAAAACCTTGTCTCGTGTAAACGACTACGGCGAAAATCGATACCGGAATCAAGCCTTTTCGCCTCATCACGCCCGAATCCGCAGCTTGTACAGGTTGCTTCCGTCTTGGAGTTCTGGGCTCCTGGGCATTTCGGCTGCGCTTAACACCACCAATACCAATCCATCAGCAGCTCACGTCAAGATTATTTCTGAACAAAGTCATCGCCAAGGAAACTGAACATAATCGCCCGCGCAGCGGAGATAGCGGACACGGAAGTTTGCATTGCATATTTACCGTCAGTCGGTCCAGCCAGAGACAGGCGTATCGTATTGTGGTCAGCCACTTGCAGAAGCAAACACCGTTAGGGACCGGAAACCGGAGGCATGACAGCCACGACAGCACACGCCAATCGGGCTTTCAATCTCCATCCTTTCTCCACGAATCCGCTCAAGACGCGTGACGATGTCGTTGCAGCTGTGGGTTCACTGCTCGATCCCCTCATTCCTGGCTTCTCCCCAGAAAATGCTTTGATCAAGGTAGGCAGCACGGGTACACGTTTTGATGAGACAGGCGCCCAAGTCGAGGGCTTCGCACGCCCATTATGGGGTCTTGCACCACTATTAGCTGGTGGCAGCAAGTATGCGGAAACCGATAAATTCGTTCAAGGCCTCATCTCTGGTACGGATCCTGAGAGCCCAGAGTTTTGGGGATACATGGAGGATACGGATCAGAGAATGGTGGAGGCGTGTCCGATTGGATTCACACTTGCTGTTGCGAACAAAGAGTTTTGGGATCCATTGACGGACAAGCAGAAGAAGAATGTAGAGACGTGGTTAGGGAGTATGAACGACAAGAAGATGCCGGATACAAACTGGTATGATGGCCATTTTGTTTCTTCGAGTTCCCCTTTTCTTGTGTTGTGAGATCCGATATTAAGATTCCGACAGGCTTTGGTTCCGCGTTTTCGCCAACCTGGGACTCGAGAGGAATGGGGCCAAATGGTCGAAAGAGCAACTGGAAAAGGACATCAAACAGCTGAACACGTACTACCGTGGTGATGGCTGGTCCAACGACGGACCTGACACATACCGCCAGATGGACTACTACTCTGGCTCCTTTGCGATCCAATACCTCCAACTCCTCTACTCCAAACTAGCCGCAGACATTGACCCAGAGCAAGCTGAAGAGTACAAAAAGCGCGCACGCATGTACGCGCTTGATTTTGTACACTACTTCGACCCCGAAGGTCGCGCCATCACCTTTGGTCGCTCATTGACGTATCGCTGGGCCATGGTCGCCTTCTGGGGCGCCGTCGCCTACGCCGATCTCGAACTTCCCGAACCACTCTCCTGGGGCGTAGTAAAAGGAATCTGGCTGCGTAATTTACGTTGGTGGACAACACAACACGACATCTTCCAGTCCAATGGCATGCTCACAGTGGGCTACTCATATCCCAACTATTACCTGGCCGAGAACTACAACTCGCCACAAAGTCCATACTGGTGCATGCTCGCCTTTGCCTGTCTCGCAGTCCCTGAATCGCACCCTTTCTGGTCTGCCAAAGAAGAACCGCATCCTTTCGCCAACACGCGCGTTGTACGCTCCCTCCCTCATCCGCGACAGATTGTCTGCCGGTCCGGCGGCCACAGCTTCCTCCTTTCAAGCGGTCAGTCCTGCCATTACGCTATCAAGAACAGCAACGCCAAGTACGGAAAATTCGCCTACAGCGCCGCCTTTGCATACTCTGTCTCGACCGGCTACCAGGAGCTTGAGCAATTCGTACCAGAGTCGCAAATCGCTTTCTCCGACGATGGGGGCGAGTTGTGGAAGATGCGGAGAGCGCTGAATGGCGACTCGCAGATTGAGGATCGCGATGGCGTACCTGTATTGGTATCAAGCATGAAGCCATGGAGTGATGTGGAGATAACAACATATCTGATCCCACCCGCGGAAGACACACCAAATTGGCATCTACGCGTTCACCGTGTTACCTCCGGCCGCGACATCAAGAGCGCAGAGGGCGCCTGGGCCGTCTACGGCGCACGCGAGTCCGACGGTCGCCTCCTTACTGAATGGAACGGCACGCTGCGGACACTAGATACTTCAATCCCCGAGGGTGGTGCTTCAGATTCCACATCCGCTTTCGCAGCCTCGCCGCGTACAGGCGCAGTAGGTATCACAGATATCTACCAGAGTGAGCGACAGGGCAGTGTTATCTTAGCTGATGCGAATAGCAATCTTGTTGAGAGCAGGACTGTGCTGCCGGTTGTGCAAAAAGATGTCAAGAAGGGGGAGACGACGTGGTTCGTTACGGCTGTGTTTGCTATGCCGGCTAGCAAGGAGGGGTGGAGGGAGAGTTGGAAGGAGGGCTGGGAGAAGAGACCGGCTGTGCCTAGGTGGGTGAAGAGCATGATCGAGGCGTAGCAGTGATGTGAGATGGAGGAATGGTAGTATGATTCATGGCATGTTGAACGAAGTAGGTTGTTAAAGCGCCCTGGGCTTAACGATATAGCATGCAATAGAAAGACTCGAGGGCCCTATGGTAGACTATTGAATTCATAAATAGCAGCTAGTTTAATGAATGACCAAGTTGATTGATGAGGATAGAAGGCTTGATGGGTGAATGGTAGGCTGTAGCGCGAAGTCAGGCGGCTGCGGTGGCGCCCCACCAAATCCACTCACATCCCACTCGTCGACTCGTGCAACCTTTGACTCCACACAAGCGCCGACGAAGATCCATTACCTTCGCTACCATCGCGACTGGACCCTTATTTAATCATCAACCCTCGCTCACTCGTCTCTACACGTCACCAAAACGGCGTCACCAGCCCCAGCCCCCGACAAATCCCGCCCGCCCTCACCTCTGCGCATTGCTAGCCAACTCACGACCGCCTCGGCCATCCTCTGGGACCCCAAGTTTACTTCGCGAGCGCCCCCGGGCAGTCTCAAGCCAGTCCACGCCGGCACTCTTGTAGCCCCGCAGCGCACCGACTCGTCCATCAGCGTCCGCAACCTCGGCGACGGCCATACCGTGCCCATCGTGCCTACCATGGACAACAGAAGACACCCCAGCTCCTTCCAGCAGCTGGAGAAGCTTGGCGAGGGAACCTATGCTACTGTAAGCAGCCACGATGCATTTTGCCTATTGCCTACTAACCCGCCCAGGTGTTCAAAGGCCGCAACCGCCAGACGGGCGAACTTGTAGCCCTCAAAGAGATACACCTTGACTCGGAGGAAGGCACGCCCTCGACGGCTATCCGCGAGATTTCCCTTATGAAGGAATTGCGCCACGAGAATATTGTCCTGCTACACGATGTCATACATACTGAGAACAAGCTTATGCTGGTCTTCGAATTCATGGACAAGGATCTCAAGAGATACATGGATTCGCGGGGCGACCGCGGTGCTTTGGATCCTGTCACCATCAAGTCCTTCATGTACCAGCTGCTCAAGGGAATCGCTTTCTGCCACGAGGCCCGCGTCCTTCACCGCGATCTGAAGCCCCAAAACCTACTGATCAACAACCGCGGCCAGCTCAAGTTGGCCGACTTCGGTCTCGCTCGCGCCTTCGGTATCCCCGTAAACACCTTCTCCAACGAAGTCGTAACCCTGTGGTACCGTGCCCCTGACGTCTTGCTCGGCAGCCGGACTTATAACACAAGCATCGATATTTGGTCAGCAGGATGCATCATGGCTGAGATGTACACTGGGCGGCCACTCTTTCCAGGAACTACCAATGAAGATCAGGTTCAGAAGATCTTCAGGCTTATGGGCACACCGTCGGAGCGGTCATGGCCGGGTATCTCGCAGCTACCAGAGTACAAGAACAACTTTCCCGTATACCACACTCAGGACCTGCGCCTCATACTGCCGCAGGTCGACCAGGTCGGTCTCAGCCTCCTCAATTGCATGCTCCAGCTGCGACCAGAGATGCGCATATCCGCCGTGAACGCCCTTCAACATCCCTGGTTCAACGACCTGCCACAGCGGCAACAGGAGATGGCGCAAATGCAAGCACAGGCGCACGCCCAGGCTCAGCAAGCGCAGATGGAAGGCTACCAAGTGCCTCAAAACGCCTACTAGCAGCAAGCCGTAGACCAAGACGCTCAGACGCTATATTACATGTGCAGCAGCTCCCTCCATATGCACAAAAGGCAATATCGAACGATGACCAGGTCGCCCGGGCCGAGTATTACAAACATGCGCCCGGTTTTCAAGTGAGGCGCGATACGTTCGACTATCGGGGAACATATTTTGCCTGGAACGGGATGACGTACATTCCTGGTACACTATCGTGTGGCGAGCCCTTTTGGTCTCTGGGTGTACGCTATGCATGGTCGGAAGGATACGGTTACAATAATAATTGTTCTCAATTGCCACAGCGCCCCTATATTTTTGGAGGGACGTTTCATGTATGGAACGGAGAAGGATTCGTCCTATGTGAGTCTGCCGTAGTGGCTCACTGAGCCGAGATTTAGCCTCTCGGATCTCGATACATACGCTTCGTTGTCATCGTCGCTATTTACAGTCCTAGCCGACTAGCAGAGTTCTATCAACATTTTTTATCTTCAAACCAGGCGCTCATCTTTGTCTTGACAACTGGGCAGAATTCTGTTTCTTCGCCTTGATTACTGACGGGTCACTTCGTACGTTGTTCTTCACGCATCCCGGATAGACTGGTATATGCAGTGTTTTATGTTGTACTTTGCACATGCAGAACACAGCGAGTACTTGTAAGGCACTTTGTAGGCACAAGTTGGAGGGGATAAGCATCTTCGTATGCGTACCATTCTCTATATCACACTTCACATATTTCCAGTCTCAACTGTTGGCACTACGTGCTCGAGGACCAGAGCTCCGGCCGTCAATCAATCGGATCAGCTAGCATTGCCGCACATCCTCCCCTGCCCCATACCCTACCAGATATGTCGCTTCCCATTAGCCACCGTTCACCCAGTGCCCCTTCTCTGTCTACATCTTGCCCGCACGCAGGTGGACTAGAAGAGGCAGGAACCCCAATGTCAACTTGCCCCCCCAGCGTGATCGCAACCGCGCAGGGACGCGTGACCGCCCCGGTAACATGCGCCATCAACGCATCCTCGAATGTTTCCCTCAAGTCTGAAGGCACCACCCCTTTCCACTCATCGTCTAGCTGCAGAGCCACCGGAAAACCGTGCTTCATCAGCTCTGATGTTTCCACACTGGAACTGATACTCATTGGACTCGCCATGGTTGGTCGCAAAGAATTCCTCCAATCATGACGTGAATTCTGCATGTGCAGAAGGTCACTCGGCTCTATCGATCCTCCAGTCGTACGGCGAACTCCACTCTGCAACAAGAAGCTAGATGAACTAGCTCCCCGTCCAAATTCTCGACCAGCTGTCTCACCATTTACAGCGTCCTGCAAAGGGCGACCCATGGTCCCTCTCCTTTCCGTACCATCCCACTCCTGCCTCCCGTACTGCCTTGCTAAAGAGGTATGTACCGGCATTCCGCTTCTCTTCCCAGGCCGTCACCAGAGGATATTGCTTGATGTGCGCTGCGTGAACCTTCGATACTGGCACGCTTGCTGAAGTTGTTCACCGTCTCTTCGATGGTCACAGCGGCGGCCACGGCGGCTCTTCGTGCCTGAGCCTGATGCCAATGTCAGATCATAACGTTTCATTGTTTGGGATACGTACCGCTTGGATGGTCAACCTTGCTTCCAGGGTCCAGTCCCCTGGGACCTGTTCATCGTTGTTGAGCTTTTCGATGTCTGCCCATAATGCTTTATCCCTAGGCTCAGGCGCCATAGCAGCCCTGGCCCCCTCCAGGATCTCTCGATGCCGTTCTTTGAATGATTCATCCATTCTGAGTTGGATGTTTGTGGTAAAAGGTTGCAGCAGACGCACGGGAAAGATTCTTATCAAGTGAGTACCTGGCAGGGGCAGGAGCGACTACATGGCAAGCAGTATTGCACGCGACCTCACCACACCAACAGCAGTACAATATACAGGAGGTTGAATGTATTAATACCAGGTAATTGATAACTGTCCATGATATGCCATGTAGGTCTGAAATATGTTTTGCTCAAAGTTCATGTTCCCTTTGGGTGCTGGTCGTGACTTCCTCTCTTGAAGAGCGAAGCGTGCCGCTAGAGGCTTCAGCTTCATCTCACACTCGAATATTCCTACATTCCCTCACCACCGCCCGCCATCGTCCAACATGGCTACTCCCACTCACCTCGCTGTGACGACAAAGAGGTTGTGCACCACGCACGACTACGAGCTGGCGCTCTGGATAGCCAAGGCCAAGTACGATCTCACGCCATTCGTGGAGGATGGCGATTTCAATGATCGGGAGAACCAGGAGTTGCAGGCCAGGGAGAAAGAGCTGGAAGATTGGGCAGATATCATCCGCTGCAGGTGCGGCGAGCCCGGATGAAGGCGATCACGCAGAGTATCCGGTTGGTGAAGCAAGCCGTCGAGAGTAAGGACAGAGAGGTTCGTGATGAGTATCGTGGTAAGCTTTACAGGTTTTCTTGTCTTGATGTGTTACTCACTAGACCTAGACCAGACCGAGCTTGCCTCAATCGAGATCCGAGAAGCGAATATGCTATCGGAGGAGTATCGGAGGGTTATCGAAAACCTTCGCGATACGATCGACAGAAGCAGCCTGCCCGAGCCTACCGAAACCGGTAAGATTCGGAAAGAAAGGGCCACGACTTACCTCGGGCTGAGAGAGAAGGCTTCGGGTTTTGACGAGATGTATCGGTGGTAGGAGCGGTACGGCGGACATCATGCTCTTGAGGCCAAGGCAGCACAGGGTGACTCTGTGGCTGTCTTGCTCAAGAATGCGGGTGGCCGGGAAGGCCTTGAGAAGAAGGTGAAACAAGCGAATGCTGTAGCTTCCTTACTGGAGAAGCACGGCATGGAAGGCTTGAAGAAGAGTGTAAGGCAAGCCGAGGCCCTGGGTTCTGTACTCGAGAGTTATGGCGTGGAAGGCCTGAAGAAGATCGTCGTGAAGGGGGGCGGGCTGCCTAAGAGACGGAACAGGAGTTTGAAGAGACGATTCTGAAGCGGAGGAAAGTGTTAGGTCTTCTAACACTTTCCTTGGAAAGGAAGGAGGAAGAGTGTAAGCTGCTCAGGAGTGAACTGAGTAAGCCACGTACAAGGACAGCCGATGCAGAGGAAGCGGCTAGACGACTGAGAGAAGAGGTGTGGCGATACTAGATGTGACCGACTGACTGACGGTCGGGGCTCTGGCTCTCGAGCACGTAGTGTAGGTGGATATGGAGAAAGTTAGCATTAATAGCACTCGAATAAATTTATGCGGCATATGTGCCTGTAAAACTGGAGTATGAACCGTGAATGCTTCAGTCAGACGGTGCTGTAGCCGACACATTCAAAATCGCAAATTGCTACGCAGAACCCCGGATAACCATCCATACTGAAAGCTCCAGCAGCCTACGAACCAGATATGTCTTTTGTAAGAGAAGAGAAGCTCACTTAATGTTGCCCGATGAGATAGCCTTTGTATACTTTGACCTCCGATAGGCGAAATGTATTAATGCCGTTGCGGAAGTCTGGCAACAGTGTGCCTTCTAATTCATGCTCAATTCCCTCAAATCAGAACTGATTGGACATCGTTATGATTGCCTAAATAGTGCGATTCGATAATTATCTCAAGCCTGGCGCTATGCCAAACGCTGTCGCAGTTCCTTATGTGGCCCTTGGCCTTCAACTACCGCACAAACTCCTTACCTTCCTAGCAAAGATGCTTTGGCTTGCTTTTTTGGGTGCCTCCTACTCCGCATGTGTCCCTACTGGCTGTAAACTGCTAACGCTTATCGCCTTCTGTTGCTGGCTAGTCTCTGCTTTTTGTACTTCTATGTCTATCAAATCTTGGTACATAAGTGATAGCATATGTCTTTAATGGATTATAAGTAGTATTACAAGTTCTACATTTAGCAGTCTTGGGCAACAAGCACATACTATAACGCATATATTAGCTACGGCGCGCCGCCCGATTTCTATTTTGCACTTTGTATTACAACATCGTGTAGGGCTGTGATATCAATAAATAAATATCGCACTGCCCACTCATCGCTTATTCATGTCACCAACACCCAGCTTAGAACAACTGGTCTACTAAGCTATGGCAACTACGCTACACGTCGAGTATGTTAGGAAGCATCAGGGGTCGTGGGTAGTTATTGCACAGAACGCAATGATTCTCTTCAGTCCCCAAGAACTTAGCTATAACGCTACAGTCAATGGTAAATCGTAAACAGGTTTCCCTCACATAACTCGTAGAGGGACGGGTTGTAACGTTCGTGTTCCTTGGAATATGATGAGGTTTGCCTCTTCTTACTCTCTACTTATCGTCGTGTACTTCTACAGAAAAAATAATCGAAGACTACCTTTGGACTTCAAGGTTGCGCATTTAAGCAGAGAAAAAGTTGCAAAGTGTAAGTTGTATGTTCCTGATTACATTGTCGTGGTCTCATTCGTTGTGTACAGTTTGCTTGTTCCGATATTTGGTGCAGTCTGTCGTCTAGGTCAGATTGTGTGGATAATTTGGAGAAGAGCAAGTATCTCTTTATTCAACACAGCAATCTGAAATGAACGTTATTGCATGATTTGCTATCATATTGTAATCACACAGAACGTTCAAGGTTCCGACATTAAGAATGGCATTTATCGTGCTCTTCTACTTTGTGTGTATTTAGCAGCAGTACCTGGAAACCCGAAGCTTTCTCGCACAAGTGCGTGACCTGTGTTCTAGTGCTGTCACGAATGCCAGATGTAATATATATCTAACTTCTTTCATTACCTAAAGCTTACGTTGTAGGATGCAAGAGCAGAGTAACAAGGACATACTGTTTCGGCTTTCGTGACGCCACTAGGGATGTATCGCATGCCCATCTCTCATGTCCAATCAGAGACAATCGGTTTGCTTGAGCTCCAACAACAGCAGTTCAGAAATCTTCAGACCGAATTAAGTCCTAGCCTACCTGGATAAAAGCCAGGCATGTACGTAAAGTCTGGACATCCTTGCTTTGCATTCGGTTACTAAACGACATTGAACACATGCAGCTGCAGTATCAACGGCCCATGAACGCTACGAAGTCCATGCCGATGATGCGGCAATGTCGGCATACGATGCATTTGGTATCGGCACATACGTTTAAGTGGACTCTCCACGGCTGGGCTGGAAATGTTTTCTGTTTTCATCTTAGAGCAAAGTGACTTGAAAAGTCGGCTACGAGAACCGAAAAAAATAACAACGCATACGCAGGTACCGGCAGAACGGGAAAGGACCGCGGTAAGCAGAGGTGGGCTGCTAAATGGATGTCTATAATGTTGTTACCGCAGTCACCGTGAGAGATATAGGTGGCAAGTTGTGTATAGATTGCGAGTGAGTGTAGTCGCCGAACTGAACGTCGGTTGTCGAAGTAAAAGTAAATGGCGAGACGCTAGATATTTACTGATTCGATTGGTGCAACTTCCGTCTGCGTCTTGCAATCTGCACGTCGATTCAACGACCTTCATACAAGTGCCAAGCTTTGCTACGTCTGTGATGGGTCTTGGCGGTGTACCGTTCTTATTCCCGCGCACGCGTGTCGGTTGGGAAATCGAGATCGAAGGGAATAGAAGAAAAAGTGGATATAAGGCGGGTAAAACGCTTGAATGATCCATGTCTGTTCTTGCCATGGATGTGAGTTTTGGAGAGGGAATGATATTGATGAAATGTACGAGAACAATGACAACATGCATTGGGAAAAGTAAATACAAGACCTTCTACAGCATGACTCGATTGGCTTGGTTGTACGATAGGAAACTCGAGGCTGATGCTAGAAAACAAGACAGAGTATCGACGTATATTCGTTGTATTTTGATGAATGTGTACTCACCGGCATTGAGAATCGGACAATCGGTGCTCTGCTTCATGCAAGTCCTCGTTGACAAGTAAATGCTACTGTACATACTCGATATTCGGGATCGATTTCGTTGATGGCCTGGTTGTAATATCATCTTGATCAAGTACCTGTAGTACCATACAAATTTGGCAGGCGCACTTTGCTCCAGGTAGAGCAAGACTGCCTAGTGACTTGGAGGTAATATTTCCTTGGAGTGGCATTACTGACCCGAGGACATCTGCTCAAGTGAGGTCGCTTTGCTTGTTGGACACAAGAGCATGCGAGCATATTAGGATACAGAATAGACGACGCCACATCAAGCCATGCCTCGCAGGAGTCAATGCAAAGTTGCTCTCTTGGGCATATGGTGTAACCACACACCGATCAGCCAAAATCAATGTTCCCGCACCTCCTTCGCTTGGACAAGATTCGGCTCAGCGCATGCGTCTAGGAAGGTGAAAGATCCAGAGACTTTTACTGGCGAGTATCGATAAGACCCTGAACGGGAGAAAGCGATCCGCGCGTCCGGCTGCTGGGAACGGACATGCGCTTGTGGCACACCGATTGCAGTAGATCTTCGCATTCAAGCAGAACCATGATTGCTTCGCATGTATGATTTTTGCGACGCAACAGTGGCGACTGCACGGGAGGACTCGTTCGTGGTGGACATTATTGGCTGGGACATGATGATCCCGAGGCCCTCGGGTTTCGATCCTTTTCCCAACTTCTGCAGTTGGTGCGATCGCGCTTTGAGCAAGTGAAGATCAATTCTGGCATCCTTGTTGTGATTGGGCCAAGCGTTCTTGACGATGCAAGGCTGAAAAGCAAAAGCGTCGTCACGATCAGAACAGCAACCTGTCAAGGCTGGGATCACAAGACCTTTGAGGTGCAACGCTGGACGTTTGCAGCCTTGCGCAGCGACGGCGCGCAAGTCCGGTGTAACGGTGCGCATGCACATGCCAGCCACGACGTCCCGAAATTCAAGCCGGTTCGATGTGAGCTGCAAGACGCAATGGCGTGCAGCGGTAGCCACCAAAAGCAACATGTAGTGTGGTGCAACAACGGACTCGTACGTACCAAGGCATTTTCTGCCCGGTCAGCTTCATCAACGAGTCAAGATGGGCTCCGCACCAATGGGAACAAGCTGCAAAATAGGGATCCGCCCCGATATCGCTGTGGAGTATGCAAAAAAGGATTGGAGTGCGAAATGAGCATCCGTTCCAATGTTGCTACGCATCAGAAGAATAGACACTGCATGACGCATTGCGTCTTACTGCTGCATGCCGTTCCTTCCTTCCCATTCCCAGATGATTAAACAATAACAATTTGTGCACCTAACGCATGAGCGAATGGGAGCATCCGGGGAGGTAGAACTACCACCGCTTGGGGAAACAAGTGCCGCACGAACAAGCGGATACGAGTGGGCGGCTGCGCTACCCGCCAATAAGAGATTGACACCTCGTTAGTCATCCGCGTCAGACACATCAGACTTAGCGCAAAGAGTTGATGTGACCACCTGCGA